TTCCTTAGTTTTGTACAGATTTCCCTAGTCCTGGCCTGTAACTCCGTTCTATAGGAGTCCCAGTCAGTTCTTTTTGGGTCTCTGTAGGTTCTTACTTGCGGATTATAATCCGTTATAATTTCAAAGTGGATATGTCTATGATCCGACATTGACGGCTCATTCGACACATGCCACCTCGCAATATTATTACATATCGGTCCCGATCCCACTGTTATATCGATGACTTCACTTCTATTTTTTATAACAAAGGTGGGCTCGTTCCCGACATTCAAAATCTCTAGATTATAACTAAAAAGAAAATCTAGTAAAGACTCACCTCGATCGTTGACATCGCTGCTTCCCCACACCGTATGGTGTGAGTTAGCATCACATCCCACGATGAGTTGTTTCTTCTCCTTCTCGCACCAGGCCACCAGGTCCCTCAGTTCCCTGGTTGGAGGAGATTCTTTCTTATCGTAAGGGAGGTACGCTGAGCAAACTACCAGTTGTCTCTGCGTTCCCTCCGATACATAAGTCACTTCGGCCGCCACCAGGTCATCCGTGCAGAACCCTGGAAGAGGAAAAATATTAATACTACTCTTGTAATAAATACAAGCTCTAGGTCTAGTTTGGTGGCCACAATACAGTAAGCCACCATTACTTACCTGCAATCCTCTGATCCGGGATCCATGTACCCAAGGCTCCTGGATCAAAGCTAAATCCGCATTTGCGCGCGCCACACTGGCACAGAGAGCAGCAGATGCCGCTCTACTGTGCTGAATGTTCGCTTGTATTACCTGGAATTTGACCAGATAATACAGATTTTGGTCCCTCCTGATCTTCATCAGAAGGTCCCAAATCTACCCTGCCCTTCTCCAGGTTCCTAAAAAGGACCCTGGTGAATTCTATCTTTAGTGTCCAACAGAAATCTGCTGTATTGTTGATATCCCATTTTGCTTGGTATCGATTCTCCATTTCATTTATATCTTGATGGAATCTTTCTCCTTGTTCTTCACTGTAGCCACCAAGGTTTTAAGGAAAGTAGTCGAGGTGAGAGTGTAGAAGAGTAATTTAAGATCCATCAAGCAACCTATAAAATTTTTCAATATCTTTTCAAGCAAATTTTCATAATACCCACTCTTCTCATTTTCTAAAAAGTTCTGAGAGATATTCTTGAAATTTTGACATGTTGCTTTTTCAGTGTCACTCATCTTTGTTATGAAATTTTCGTTGTGAAATAGAGAACGAATTTGAGGACTATCAAAAATACCTTCTTTCAATTTTGCATCATTTATCGCTGGAAACTTCTCTCCTAAATATTGAAAACAGTCACCGTCTTTGTCTAGAGCTTTGAGATACTGCTTCATGAGACCAAGCTTGATATGAAGAGAAAAGGGTTCGCTGCAAGAAAAGAAAATTGTAATAGTCCGGGCGGTAGAGCATTCGAGGCGTTTATATTTGAAGTTATCTATTTTGTTGTACAGAAAAGTCCCAAATATTACGTAGAATAAGAATCCGAGTTTGCCCATTCCAAAAAACCATTGCTAAATTCAGGAGAACAACAAACATACAAAAAGAACGAAAATGACCCGTTTTTCAACATATTCTTCCCTGTAACATTGAAAGTAAGCCCTAAATAAAAAAATAGCCATTCTTTATTTTTTGTTTATTTGACGATTTTCTATAAAGCTACAATAACTGCGAATCAAAAAGTTGAATTTTGCATTAACAATTGGCGAAAATAGTAGAAAATCATATGTATATTTAGAGCAATTTTTAAAATAAGTAAATATTTATAAATATCCATGAAACTTTGTGAACAAATAGTAAAACATATGTCAATTCTATCTTAAAAATTTTGCTACGATCGATCGCGTAGTTTTCGATTGACAGGATTGTTAATTAGGAAAATTTCAAAAAGAGTATCGGTACCGCGGGTTTAAATTAAGGTTTAGAAAGGGCACACAATTTTTTAGAGATACTTGTTGTCATAATAAACAATGATCAATACTATAAATACCTATTTTTACACTTTTATAACCATTTAGAATTTTTTTTAACAAACAATTATTTATTGCCAAAGAATTTTCTATGCAATCGACAAAATCTTGTACACATTAAAATTAGATCTTGAGATATAGAAGAAAATTTTGTTATACTTCAATGAATTAACAGAGAGATCATTAAAATAAGACAATATATTTTTTAAATTAGTCATTAAAACGTGAATTTCGTGGAATGCATTGATGAACATAAACTACTAAAACTTGATTACCATAATATAACTATTTTTTAAAAGCAAACGAAAGTGACATAATTCTTTAAACTCAAAATTCGTGCAAAAATTATTTATTTTATTAATTTTTGATCACATTCGTTTTCCTCTCATTTTGCTATATCAAATTTAAAAAAAGTCGTCTTGATAAGTGCTACCGTTCCCGAGAAAAGTCATCTTTTATCGCGCATATGCATTTTGAAACCCATGCGGCGCGCGGCAGCGCAGTTGCTCTCAGTCATCCCCACTCCTGCTCTGCTGAGAAATTCCAGTGACCACGGTACCTTTCTTGAAATTTCTTTCATTAAGCTTTTAGCTGCCGAAAATGCATTAAACGGATATTGAAAGTATTTACTTGTAGTTAGTATAAAAACATCTTTTTTTTCCACTTCACGATTACGAAAGCTATAAATTATTATTAATTTTATGTTTCTATATCTCAGAATCTACACAGTAGAATGCTGTCGTAATTGGTTAAAAAGCAAGGGGTTACGACGTAGTTTTTATGTGTGCAAGATTTTGTCAATTGCGTAGAAAATTCCATGGGCAATATATACTAATTGTTTATAGATTAAAATGTTGAAAAATTTAAAAAACAAATTCTAAATGGTTATAACATTGTAAAAATAGAAATTTTTAGTATTGATCATTGTTTATTATGACAACAAGTATGTCTAAAGAATTGTGTGCCCTTTCTAAACCCACGGTACGCGGTAAATTTTTGAAATTTTGTTAATTAACAATCCCGTCAATCGAAAACCACGCGATCGATCGTTTCATCGATAATTATAAATATTTGCTTATTCAAAAATTGCTCTAAATATACATACTTATGATTTTCTACTATTTTTCGCCCATTGTTAATGCAAAATTAAACTTTTTTGATTTGCTGTTAATTTTATAGAAAATCGTCAAATAAACAAAAAATATAAAGTGACTTTTTTATTTAGGATTTACTTTTAATTTTGCAGGAATAAATATGTCGCAAAACGGGTCAATTTTCGTTCTTTTTGTGTTTGTTGTTCCCTTGAATTTAGCAATGGTTTTTTGGAATAGCAAAACTCGGATTCTTATTCTACATAATATTTGTGATTTTTCTGTATAACAAAATAGATGACTTCAAACACAAACGCCAAAGCTTGCTTTTACTCTATCGCCTAGACTATAAGAGCAACATCAAAGAAAGCCTGGTTTGAGTCAGTGTTTGAGCTAAACGGACTTTAGATTCGGATACAGCAAATTAAAATACATAAAGTCTATTGGGTGAAATCAAAGGTATATACCACTTTTTTATTTTGTGTGCTGGTGTAATTAATGTGACAGTAATTTTAAGCAAGTTTAAGTGACATAACGATGTTCTTCCATGGCAATTATTTTTTATTGGTTTTTTCGATGCGATCAGGGTCTAATCAATTTTGAAACGAAACAGTTAACCGAAAAAGGCAAACGTATACGAAATACTATAAGCAAAATATGTAAAAAATTTGGATATAAATTACTTTTTAATAAACGTAACAAAATTCTTGTCCATGAACTAAGGTATTGTAAAATATTTAGTTTTGTTACAAAGTTTGTAGTATAGATAACGATAAGAACAAAACAGGTTATTATTTTAAACATTATACTTGTTTACATCAACAAAAGTTGAAAGTGCCACCACTACATGTCATTAAGAGGGAGTATTTAGTAGTTATAATATGCATTGATAAATTAATCAAAATGTTCTACTAAGATAAGCTGAGAAACACTATAATATACTTACACTTGAAATTATCATTTCTCTATATAAGTATTTTATTTTGACAAATCTATTTAGTAAACATTTAAAATGATGTCAGCACATCTGTTTATTTTTTTAATTCTTAATATTTTCTTAGCTGTTGTGGTAAGAAGCGTATTTTTTAAATTCATAATCTCTTGTAATTATCAGTCATTGCTACTAGTTTTCAGAAGACACACTTGTTACGCTTCCAAATGGAAAAATAAATGGTCGGGAGGCGAAAACGTTTAAAAACACTACGTTTTTTGCTTTTCAAGAAGTACCTTATGCTGCTCCACCATTAGGAAACCTTCGTTTTAAGGTAAGAACTGAAATCATGCGTAAACCATAATTAAGGTCAAAGAAGTGTTTATTATAAGTATAAATAAATGCACTTCACGCAGATTCCCAATATTTAGTGTTTCCTATTTATTTTGGACTAATAAAAACTTGTGGATTATTTTTATACAGGGTGATATTGAATAGAGTAGCACAAACGCTACCAGTGCATCTAGATAAAAAAATAAGGCGAATGAACTAAATATACCTTAGACAAAAGTTGCACTCCTGAGGTATTGCAGGGTCTTGAATGTTGTAGAGCCAACCAATATTTCCTTCAATTTATCTTGAACGATGTGACGCAAATAATTTACATTTGGTACAGACATTTGTCCAGTGCAGACACATACTTTCTATTAATATTGTTTAAATATATCCACCAGAGGCGCTGCTGTCGACTATATGCAACATATTATTCCAAATAATTTTTCACCCTGCATGAAACTTTTTTAAAGAAGAATAATGCTTATTAGTCAGGAATATACGAATTGACGTTATTCTCATTCAATGTACTATCGATTGACAAAATATTTCTACATAAACGTTAGACAGGTGAAATTGGGTCGATAATAACCGTATTTCAGATACATAGTGTACTGTATATTTTTCTGAGGATTTATTAACTTTAGCTAGTTAACCAACAACTAATAATAATAACTGACTTTTACAACGGAAAGTTTATTTTGTAAATTATGAGAAGCAGATAATATTTACTTGTTGCTCTGTAATTCCAAACGCATACGATTAAACTGTAAATTTCAGGCACCGGCCCCAATGGGGAATTGGGAGGGAGTACTCGACACTACAAAAAATACAAAAATATGCGTGCAAGGTAGTGCTGGTGTAATGCAAGATGAGGACTGTTTGTATTTAAATGTGTACACGCCCGTGGTAAAGCAATGGTAAGCTTCAATTTATTTCTTATTTATTTCTTTGCCATATTTTAGACTCCCGGCACTGAAGCCAAATTGCCCGTATTAGTTTTTATACACGGAGGAGGATTTATACGTGGTAGCGGCGTATACGGTGGTTATGGTCCAGAATTTTTTATGGACACGGGGAGACTTGTTGTGGTCACCATTAACTATAGACTAGGACCCTTTGGTAATAATGTTTTAAAATACAGGCTGTCCCCTAAGCACATGATCAAAAAGGTACTGCGACATTCTTTGGCTTAAAAGAAGACGATTTGATCTAACTTTCATTAAGAAAAAATGTCGGGTTCCTCTGCTATTGACTGTCAGAGTTCTTGAAGAAAAATATGTTTTTTGTAATATCTGGAGAATGTTACGATGGATTTTAATGAAACTTGCTGTGGACTTGTTCCTAAGTAAAACTCATGTTTTGATGAACTGCGTCCATCTGCCTTGGGCTAGTGGTAAATTCTTGGGTGTCTTGGTACAAGAATTACCAGAACTTTTTATTTGGTCGCTGGAATTAATTCTTTTTATTTTTATTGATGTATCAGTCCTTTTTCGTGTTCTTGGTAAAATCTTCTAGCATTCATAATTTTTACGCAAATTTTTTTTTTTTCAATTTTAGACAATCATTATCACTACTACTCAAGTACAACAACTACTCACTACAATTACTACTGTCGTAGTAAGCGATGATGTAATTTTATAATAAATGAATTGTCAATCAATTCGTTTCGAATGGCGTTTTCTAATGAAGAGATGACCTACTTATCGAAGTCTTAGGGTTTTGCGAAGACAACTTGGGTCGCGGCGCGATACCAAATCGACGAGTTCCAGATTACCGATTTACATGGATTGAAAAGAGTTTGCGGGAGACTGGGCAATTTGGTGTATGAGCCATTGACCGTGTGGGTTATCCTCAAGTACGAAATGCAGTCGTTGAGGGAAACGTTTTAAATAGGGTCGCTGAAGATCCAAATATCAGTACTCGCTGTCTGACAGTGGAATTTGGCGTACCAAAAAGTACAATTAATCGTATCAGAAGACAACAGCTTTTCCAGCCTTATCATGTGACGTCTATTCAGGAGCTTTTATCATACCATTTTGAGAGAAGGCTTCAATTTCGCCCCTTTATTTAAGGAGCGTCGGCACGCCACCCAAATTTCACCAGCCGAATTTTATACACCATTACGCAGAAGAAATCCCTCATGCGAGGCGTATTAAGTACTGTTAGGTGGAATTTCTAATAAATGTTTGGGTCGGGATCATTGGTGACATCCTTCTGGGTCCTTATGACATGCCGCGCCGCTAAAATAGCGAACATTATTTCAATTTTCTGATGAATACTTCTCCAGTTCTAATGGAAGATGTCCCTCTCGATCTTCGTGCTCAGATGTGGTTCATGCACGATGGTGCTCCTCCGCAGTTTAGTGCAAATGTAACTGCACATTTAAATAATACTTTTCCATATAAGTGGATCGGAAGAAGAGGGAGAGATGTTCTTGTCGAATGGCCCCCCAGGTTCCCCGACTTAACGTTGTTAGATTTTTTTTTTGGGGAGCCTTGAAGAATAAAGTTTACGCTACTCCTGTGGAATCCCAGGAAGAATTATTGCGTAGGATTCAAAACGAGGCGGACGTAATACGGAAAGATCCAAAAATGTTGAGTATGGCTCAATTCAATTTCAATCGAAGGATCCAGCTATGCATCCAGGAAAATGGGAGACATATCGAACATGTCTTGTAATTTCACCATCATCTATCGTAAACTATCATCCAGTTTCAATAAAGATAATTATGTCTTTCCTAAGTACGTCTTTACATGTTTTGAATGTTAACAAAAAATAAATCTAAGGAAGTAAAATGATATTCAATCCGTCGCATTGCGACAGACTTTAAAGTTGCGACCATTTTACTTTCAATATTGATATCCTAAGTAAAAGAATTGGCAATTATTGGAAGCTGGTTCTTGTAAAAGGACAAATTTACTGCGATACATTTAAAATAAAAAAAACAGAAAACAATTTTTTGCGTAAAAACTATGAATGCTACAAGGTTTTACCAAGAGCACGAAAATCTCGAAAAAGGACTGATGCATCAATAAAAATAAAATTAATTAATTTCAGCGATCAAATAAAAAGTTCTGGTAATTCTTGTACCAAGACAGTCAAGAATTTACCACTAGCCCAGGGCAGATGGACGTGGTTGCTTCATCAAAACATGAGTTTTACTTAGGAACAAGTCCACAGCAAGTTTCATTAAAATCCATAGTAACATTCTCCAGATATTACAAAAAAGATATATTTTTTTCAAGAACTTTGACAGTCAATAGCAAAGGAACCAGACATTTTTTCTTAATGAAAGTTAGCTCAAATCGTCTTCTTCTGAGCCAAAGAATGTCGCAGTACCTTTTTGATCATGTGCTTATGGAACACCCTGTATGGTGGTTATGGACATTACCACCGAACTATTGTGATACAGTTGTGAATTTTTGTATTTACATAAGATGTAAAATTGTGGATCCACACTTTCCCACTGCAACTATTTGCAGCTTTATTGTTGACCTCCATCTAACAAATGTTCAAAATGACCTCCCTCAGACGTGACACAAGATTCAACTCTTCGCCTCATTGATTGTCGTATTCGCGCAAATATTCCTGGTATATTTCTTATTGTCTCACAGCCGACTATAATTCGATTCTCAGGTCATCAACATTTTCAACGGGAGTGAAATAAACTAATGACTTAAGAAAACCCCTAATGCAAAAATCAAGAGGATTTAAATCCGGCGATCGAGCAGGCCAATGTTCCGTAACTCCCCTACCTATCCAACGATTTGGATATACTGTGTCTAAGTGATTACGTACATTAATGCTAAAATGGGCTGGTGCACCATCATGCATGTACCATAGGTGTTGTCTCAGCTGTAGAGGAATTTCTTCAAGAAGAACAGGTAACTCTTCCTGTAGGAAATTAAGATAAGATTCGCCTGTTAGTCGTTGTGGGAGGAAATATGGACCGATTAAATGATCATCAATTACCCCAAGCCATACATTTACGGAAAACTGATGCTGAAAATGAGCTTCAAAGATTCCATGGGGGTTTTCCTCAGCCCATAAGTGATTGTTATGGAAATTTCGTATACACTGTCGTCCAAAAGTAGCCTCGTCAGTAAACAAAACGGCATTTAAAAAATTAGGAATTTGAGCGATTTGATGATTAATCCATTGGCAAAAAAATAGGCGCGGAAAAAAGTCTCTAGGTAGTAGAGCTTGCACACGTTCAATATGAAACGGATACAATTGCTGTTCTTTAAGAATTTTAAATACAGTGAAGTTGCTTACATTCAATATGTTGGCAATTTTTCGAGTACTTGTTTCAGGTGACTCCGCAATTAACTCGAGAACTGCTTCTTCTAGTTGCACAGTTCGTACTTCTCGAGGGCGCCCACAGTCAACCGTTTGTTTCTTAAATGAACCATTTTCGCGCAAACGTTGATGAAGACGAGCAAATATTGTGTGATGAGGTACCCTACGTCCTGGATACAACTCAGCATACAATCGTCGAGCTTGCCGACCATTTCCATTACTTCGACCATAGACAAAATGCATGTCTGACAATTCCGCATTTGTAAAATTTTCCATTCTTTTCGATAAAAGAAAAATTAATTACTTATTAACACTAATGTTATAGCAAACTAAAAGCTTAATAAATTAATAATGACGAAACGCTAATTTGACATTTCTTAAAAATATTCGTATTTAACAGACAAATGTTGACAGTAGCCTACTAGGTAATGTATTAAAGAAATAAAAAATACGCGTTAAGATGTTTTATTTTTTTGCATCAAAACGGCGCCCCATACGAAGAAAAGGCAAGAGAGATTTTTTGTCACAAATTGAACGAGGAATTCAAAAATGATTTTTAATTTGTAATATCTCAGTGGCGTACCATTTTTTTCTTTAAAAAAATTGAGATTATTACCCGTACGCGCGCCAATGATGAACATAAAATTCTTAATTGCGTGTCAAAAAATGCGCAATAACTACCTCTTAAAACCCACCAAATTTCATTTGCACATCTCGACCGGTTTCAGAGCAATAAATTAAATCGTCAGTTTTTAAGAAAAACTTTGACACCCCGTATCTCGGAAAACGAATTATTTTCGGATATACTTTATAAGCAAACTGCCATTATTTTCTCATGTAGAATCACCCCCTGAAATTTGTCGCACTTATTTACTAACACCCTGTATGTATATGAGTATTTACATCCAATATTACAGGATTCTTATCAACGGAGGATGACATCATTCCAGGAAATTATGGCTTGAAAGATCAACGCTTTGCGTTGCAATGGGTTCAAGACAATATTCATTTGTTTGGTGGAGATCCCTTAAAGGTTACCATAGATGGTCAGAGTGCAGGATCTGCTTCAGTGTCTTACCATGTTTTAAGCAATCAGTCAAAAGGTAACTTTTCCATATTTCTTGCATTTAGTACAATTAATGAGTATTTTCTTAAACCATTGTTATCGTTGGTAATATTTATTTGCAAGTCATACATTCTCTTTAACAAAGTTCACTCGTTCTTTATTTACTAAAGAACTGAAGAGCTCATTTTAATAAATTTACCATCACAGCAATAAATATCTTCTTCAGTTTACATTTGCTCCTCAATTAGTTTTATCTAATCACTTGCAGGACTATTTAGAGCTGCTATTCACGAGAGTGGTACTGTTCTAACATCCTGGGGTTACCAGAGGTACGCAAGAGACATAGCTTATAAAACTGCTGCAGCATTGGACAGCTCAATCACGAATAGCAATAGTTCAGCAGAGGTCCTAGAAGTCTTACAAAAAGTAACCGCTAGGGAGCTTCAAGATGCTGCCAATATCATACCGGTAGGTATCCTGATGAAAATATTATCTTTTCTATAGTTTTATTTTAGGTTTTAAATAATGAGTCGTGATATAGTTTTAGTATTTTTTTAAGTTATTTTTATTGCCTTTACACTGGTAGACTGGCTCCAACGTCTTGAAACTTCCAATACAACTGTGTCTTTGTTTTAGGTACCCACGAAGCACATAAATCCAGGATATATATTTGCTCCTGTTGTGGAAAGCGGCGATGATGCCTTCTTCACAGAACTTGCTTATGAAGCTGTAGAGAAAGGCAATATTAACAAAGTAAAAATGATAGTAGGGATGAACTCAGAGGAATGGATAGCACGGGTCTCTAGTAAGAGTTTTTCTCGTATTGTACATTTATTTTCTATCAATTTTGAGAATCGCTAGAACTTTAGAAAATAGTGCTATAACACTAATAGATTTTTCTTTTAATAAATTAATATCAGAGGTTGCCCGAATCACCGCCACTGGTGATTCAGGCAATCACTGACTTGACAACCTCAATACTCTTATTCTTCTTTTGGAAATTTCTGTCCTGGTATATACCAAATTTGGATGAAACATTTGGTACTTTAGTTGATATTAAAAAAATTAAACTTTGGTACCCTGTATCTTCAAAATTAAGGCCCTGAGAGAAAATAGGTTATGTGAAAAACTGGCGTTATTTTATTTCTAGCGATTCTCGAAGTTTATGGAAATCAAAGTGAATCATCAATAATTCAACTCGTACCTACTACTAATAATTTTATTTTTACGAATTAAAACTTTTTTATATCTAATATCAAACAGTTTCACAATAACAAGGGAAAGCTTTTTTCTTAAAACGTTTTCCAAGTTTCCTAATGCATTATCTTTCATTGTTGCATGTGAAACGTAAAATTTCATTATTATAGCTTTTACAGGGCGTTCACAAAATAGGTGAACATCGACGCCAGGAAACGCCAAACTGCTAATTTTGCCGAGCCCCACTTTGTCGTATGGTAGGGATCTTTTACTTGCCTAACATTGTTTAGACAAGGGACCAACAGTTTTCAATCCTTTCCGAGGGATGATATGACCACCTATACAACCCCCCCCCCCCCCTAAATTCGTATAGCTTCTGTAAATACACCGACCTACAAGCCACTAGAAGGTGGTCGAGCATCACGAGCCTTCCCGGATGGTCGCCCAGCCAAGTACTAACCGCGATCAGCGTTGTTTGATTTTTCGTATTAATTACATGGATGCCAAGTCGTTAGGAAGCACTCGCTTTAAACTTTTCTATGGATTATCATATTAATTTTTCATAGAAAATAACAATATGAAAACTTCAATTTCAAATTAAACAAAGATCTGAGAACTATTTCTTAGACGTATTCCAAATTTCAATTTATCATGTGACAAATGATGATCTTAAGTTTGCAACAATACTAGCTTTTAGCAAAATATATTCTGTGTGTAACTTCAAACAACTCTATTTTAGGTTTGGATTTTTTTAAACAAGTATTGGCAGGCTACGACCAAGATCTAACTCAAATCGTTAATGACGATTTTCATATACAAAACGAGAGTTTGCAGCTTACCATTGCCAAGAAAATTAGGGATATTTATACAGAAGGACTATTCCAAGACGATCTGGGTTCATCACTTAGGGTAACTATTTTTCATAGTTACTAAGATTTATTTATAATATTTCAATAATTTTTAGTTTATGAGCGACTGTCGATACACTGCGAATATAATCAAATACGCCCAAATCGTGTCACAGTTTGCTGATGTTTACTTTTATCAATTTTCTTACGACGGCGAATTAGGAGGTGGCAACCTGAAGATATCGGGTGAGATACTTTTAAATTTATTATGACATTGGTACAAGTACTCTTCTCGTAGGGGCAGAAAGTGTGGGTCACTCAGAGGAACTACAGTATTTGTGGAGAACCAATAGGAATGACGATATAGAAAAATTTGCAGAAGCTGATGTTTTAACGCATAAGCGAATCCTTAAACTATGGACGAATTTTGTCACGGACTTGTAAGTACATGGCTAACAATTAACAATTTTTTGTTTTCATATGTAATACTTTTATAAAATTGAAATAGTATTATTTATATTTCATTATTAATGTGCCTACAAGAGTTTATTAATGATTTGTTGAATTCGTTTTTAGATATTTCTTCAAACTACTTCCAAAAAATATTGATTACTTTAATTCAAACATATGAATACCATTTTACTTTTTATGTAGAGACTTTGAAAGAAACTTAAATAATATAGTGTAATATAACAACCCCAGGTTCGATCGACAAAAAATAACTAAACGTAGTTGTGGCCAAAAATATGTGTGATTGTCATTAGGACTACCTACGTTGTATGTATCTATTTTTATATATATTGACCGGAAGGCGCTGGCTACTAACTTTGTAGAGGGGATGTATGGTTTAATTATATAAAACAAAAGCAGAGTAAATACATCTAACCTTTATTTACATACAATTCAAATTAAACATGTGACAAATAGAAAGAACAACAAAACATTAACAACCCTTTAACATAGAATGAGAGTGCCAGGCTCACCTAGAGCTCCTGTGGGGAAAGAGCATGGCAGAGAAACCCACGATCGTTACTCTTAACAGTCAAATATAAATACAAAACAACCGCTAACCAAAGGCATAAATTAAGATCCTTTGCTAATAATAATTAAGACTTGTCCCATTTAATGCGTCACTAAATGTCATCTCACTCATATCAGACAATCACACTTCCAAGTAAAACTGAAGAGGTTTGGTGTTAGTTAGCCGGCAGAGCCGGAAGGTTCTGGAGTCCCATACGGGAAGCAATCCAGCTATAGTTGAGATTCGGAAGATCTGTTAGCAATTCTTTTTTTGTATTTAATTATTCTTTTTTTCAGATTCGTTCCTCACGGGCGAAAATGTAAGTGAATTCAACAAGGCCCTTATATGCGTATGACATAAAGTGAGCACAAGAAATCAAAGATAAGCGTAATCATGATAAAACAAATTAAATGTGAAACAAAGAAGTTTGTTTTGCAATATCTGGGCAGACACGACAATATATCCATATTTTAACATGTAATAAATCATGAACAATCGTTAATAATAATTGTAACAATTTTACTTTAGAAAAATATACGCCCCTGAACATAAAACAATGAAGGCTAAACATACACAAAGAATTATTATCATGAAACATCTATGTTTTTCGAACAACGTAATCATGACAAAAACAAGTTAGATGTGAAACAAAGAAGTCGTTATTGTAATATCTGGCAATCAGGTCAATATATATATTTTTAACATGAAATAAATAATGGGCAATCTTTAAGAATAATTATAACAATTTTACCTTAGAAAAATATATGCTCTTGAGCTTAAAGCAATGGAAGCTGCTAACTAATAACACTTTAAACACTTAATTTTCTACTACTTTTATATTTTCCGCACTACACTGATCATCTTACTACCTATCTGTACACTGTTCTCACTTCCACTGCCTATCTTCAACTATTTAGGCTTCCTTCCAGAATTTCCTACCTAAGTGCCTGTTTTTTGTGCTTCCTTCTACCGACCGTTAATATTACTTTTTCATTGTTATACAACACCTATGTAACAGGTGACGTCGAAGTTGATAAGTACGGTTTTGCACAATAGTTAATTTAGACAGTTCTTAGTCGAAAATTACCGTCCTTAAAATGGAATGGGCATATTTTTTCCGTTTCGTTCTTTAAGACAACTTCATAAAGCTCTGATTTCTTAACACTTGATTCGATGAAATTTTGTGTGGAGAGTTTTATTGGGAAATTGGGATTTAGTTTTGGTTTTTTCGACTTATTCTTTGGTTAGTAGAGGTTTTGAGGAAATGCAGATATTTTATAAAACTATATATTTTTTGCAGTAAATAAAGTACTGCAAAAAATATAGTTGTTGCGTGTCGCTATTATCACAGAAAAAGTGATTTCAATTTCTTTCTGTTAGTTATCAGTTACAGTGACCATTTGGGTTTATTGATCTCGTCAGATTATGAGATTTGAATAGGCGTAAGTTGGTATAAATCGTTAACAATATTATATATAGCTACAAACTTTTTTATTTAATGAGGTATTTTAGCGAGTATACTTTTTTTACAATAAATAAAAAAAACATATAGGTACATCAATAGATTAAATATAATAAAAAAAATACTCTTTCGTGTTTATAAATACCTATGTGATTTGGGTAAAAAATGAACTTATAACTTAAATTCGACAAAAGATACGAAGAAAAATAACTGACCTCTTTTAGGAATCCCACTCCTGAGGCAGACGAGTTGTTACAAAATATATCTTGGCCAGTAGTCGAATCCAACAATTTCCAGTACCTGGACATCCGCGAGGATTTGACAGTGAAGATAAATCCCAAAGAGAAAGTTTTTGAATCATGGGACAACATTTATCAAAGTTATGCCATTCGACCATTAGATACATATTAAAACATATTAATGCGATTGTGAATAATTGATAATAAAAATTGATATTGATACTTTCCATTCATTTCTTTATAAAAACTTTAGTTTATTATTTACACAAAACACTTCAGTTTATCTTATCAACCGAAGTACAAAAATAATTTGATTAAATTTCAAGTAATAACAAGGAAAGGAAACAATTAGATCTACATCATTAGAATTATACATATGTTTAAAAAATATAGGATTATTCATAGGTTTTATCTAATAATAAGTAACAAATAGCTTGTTCTATTATTTACGATATTTATTCTAACGTATATTCAGATATCAGTATCGATATGATTTACATCACATATCTGGTTTATATAAGTACTTACATAAACTTTACATTTTTATAATAATAACCAAAATTAGTTCATATTAATCTATAAAGCTATTGAAATGTCGAACAAATATTGCTTAATATATTTCATTCTACATACGAGTACATATTTCTTATTTGTGGTAAGGGAGGAAACATTTACGGACGTTACGGGCAAATATTAAATTAATATGTGCAAAAGTTTTCAGAAGAGTCTATTATAACAATTTCCAATGGACAGATAAAAGGCAGAGTTGCAAAGACCTTCAAAAATTCCACCTTTTACGCGTTTCAAGAGATACCATATGCTGCACCACCTGTCGGAAGTTTGAGATTTAAAGTAAGTCAAAATACAAAAAAAAAATAGTATAATGAATTTTTAATCAACAAAGAATAGTAAGGTGTAAGGTGCCTCGAAATTGACGATCATGCCTTTTGGGTATGATACGTTGTGGCTAAAGAAATTGAATATGAAGATGGAACAATTTCCAACGACCTTCCTTACCGAGTTTTAAGTAATAAAAATGCATCATTTAAAGTTTATTAAACATGAATAATATTAGAAAGCAGAATATTATCCGCATATCAAAAAATGTGTTCAAATAGGATTCTCAAGGCAAACACCTACATGATATATCATGGTGAAAAATGACCTTTCTACGAGTATAGTATATTTTCATCTATCAATTTTATGACCTTCTCAATAGGTTCGCATTAAAATTCTCTCAATCCACTTCTAGGGAAATTTTTCAATCAGGAAATTTCTCTTACATTTTTCAGTCTGCTGAATAAAAAATTTTCTGAGTAATAGATTGGAAGAGGGGAATCCAGATTAAGGCCTACTAGGTAATCAGATCTGAATATCATGGATTTTTTGCCAGTCAATAAGATATCATATTAGTATTTGCGTTGTTGTAGCGTTAACAGACAGAAATGTGCTACAAAGGATTGCTTCCATATTTCATCGTGTGAATGAATTGCCTTGTCGTATGAAGAACATATTTGAACACGTGCTGTGACATATGCGTACATCTTGTTTTCTAATATTATTTGTTTTTAACGAAGATTAAATGATACATTTTTGTTTTTGTTTTAAGAACCCAACAAAAAAGATTTGGAAAATGCCCCACTTTTCTTGTTCGATTTGTTTTAGCCCCCTCCATTAAATTTTCAGGCACCCTGTATTTAGATTCGAAGATATTATCTTCCTTGGGATATAATTTCATTTTCTATACATTTCAAAATGGAGCCATTTATTAATTCTCTTTAGTTGCAAAGTGTATCATTTCTTGTAGCCTCCAATTCCAGTAAATAATTGGGATGGAATATTAGACACGACAAAAAATACAAAAATCTGTATCCAAGCAGGCGGTACAAATACCATGCAAAATGAAGATTGTTTATATTTGAATGTATATACGCCTGTGGTAAGAAACCTGTATATTTTGAAAATTCTCATAAAACCGCCAATTCTAAGATTCCAGATTCAGATGAGAAACTCCCTGTATTATTTTTCATTCATGGTGGAAAATTCTTATCGGGTGATGGAATTTACACTGCATATGGTCCAGATTTTTTCATGGATACACAAAAATTGGTTGTGGTGGTTATTAATTATCGACTTGGACCTTTTGGTAACAATATTAGTATATATGTTTAATTACCTTATGTAGAAATTAATATTACTTTTAAAAGTTTGAATTTTAACTATATTGCTCAATTAAAATCGCTCTTTTTTACTTTAAATAGATATTTTTTCAATTTAAATTTTTTTAGCTTCATAAATTTTGTATTCTCCGATTAATTAAACTTTACGTCAGTAATTTAACTTTATTTTAACGGGAGATGAAGTATAACTGGTTGCATAAGGCTGAAAGTTCTCTTGATAGGATAAGATATGACATAATAAATGTACTTTACTATTTTTTTTGTTAAACAATTTATTAAAAATATCTTCGTATCTATAGTAAAATATAATCCATCAACGAAACATCACAAACTTAAACATTACTTTTGCTAGAAAAAGGCAAAAAGCCTTTGTTGTATGAATTCTTGCTGAAGAGTAAGATAGTACTAAGAATATTACAATTATTGTTCTATAATTTGTTTTATAAACCACAATAATTTATTGAATAAGGAAATAATATTTTGACATTCATTTATTAAAAATTTGTGATCATATTTGCATAAGACTAAGTAGAGAGTTTCTATCATAAAGGGGACTTTTGTAATTTTCTTTATTTTTTGAAGAAACAATATTATACAGATATCTCTAAAAATATTTTAGGATTTTTGTCCACTGAAGATGAAGTAATTCCTGGAAATAATGGATTAAAAGATCAACGCTTTGCATTGCAATGGGTTCAAGAAAACATCCAATTCTTCGGAGGTGACCCGTCACAGGTTACTCTAGTTGGTCAAAGTGCAGGATCTGCTTCAGTTTCATATCACGTCCAGAGTAAGAAATCTACTGGTAAGAAATGAAAAAACAAATAACATATTTATACATAGACTTAAGATAAGCACACATAGAATGAGTAGAGGGTAGGTACTTATGCTTTTGTGACTTCTTATGTTTTTTATTTTATAGAATTTTCTAAAAATTCTTCTAGGCTTATTTAGAGCTGCTATATGTGAAAGTGGTACGGTCCTAACTCCGTGGTCTTATCAAAGGTACGCTAGAGACATCGCCTACCAAACCGCAGCAGCTATCGACAATTCTTTTACAACAAAGAATACCTCACAGGAACTGTTGACTCTTTTGCAAGGAGTATCCGCTAAGGAGTTACAAGCTGTTGCAGCTGATCAAATATCTGTAAGTACTCGTAAATGCAAATTTATGAACATTGTACCTGCTGTTTCTTTTTTAAAAAATAAAGAAATGCCTATACAGGCTGTGCCATTTAACACTCGCTGCCAATATCTCCGAAATGAAGACATTTATTTTAGTTCCTGAAACTGGGATTGTTAGGTCCCTCGAATAGCTTCAAATTGTAGTTAGAACTGTTAGTTCAAATCTTTATGTATAGACGGCGTGCCGTTACTAAACATTTTTTTTGAGCCTTGGAACGTAGAAATGCAGTCAATCTGAAAGATCGTTAAATTTTGAGTAATTTTTGTAATATAAAGTTTTTCCCAATATTTACTTGTTTTCGAGACATGTCGACTTCAATATGCAATGTATGATGTAACAGGAAAATCTATTATTTATCTAAATCACACCGAGGCAAAATATTCTTTTCTATCACGCGCGCTCGCTATGGGACCTATAGTGTAGGGGGTTAGGTGCACGGAAAGTGCTAGATAGTACAACAGCGTGATGTTATTTTCATAGCGCAACGCTGGAGCGTTGCGCTATGAAAATAACATCACGCTGTTGTACTATCTAGCACTTTCCGTGCACTTAACCCCCTATGCTATAGGTCCCATAACGACTCGCACTTGTGATAGAAAATAGTATGTGCAACTCGTTCGGAAAAGTTGCCATAGCGCCACTTGGGCGCTTTCCGCACTCGCTTCGCTCGTGCGACAACTGCGTCCGCGTGGCGCTATTGGCAACTTTTCCCCACTCGTTACACAATGTACTATTAAAAAATTGTTATATGACTTTATTTACACCACATACTAACTAACAAACAATAAATTATAAAAGAACGAATGATCAACTACAGAAAAAAATGTACAATGGTAAATCTTATAATTAATATTGTTAAATTGAAAGACGCAAACTGATCAAACTGTAATTATTGGAAAACTAATATCTATCGTGTTATACATGTTTTATTTTGAACAAATGACATGAGCCACCTATGACTGCATTTTTTTATAAAATTTTATAAAATACGGTTCGTCTCTGCCCCTTATAAGATTTACCATTGTACAAGATATTTAATTTTAGAATATTTTATTATACATAACGTACATTTCCTTAATGTCAAAAGTACAGTTGTTAAATGTGCAATGCATGAAGGACATGTTCTTCGAACGATAGGGAATGTCTGCTACAGTGGAATTTTCTTGAGTTGGAAGCATATTTTTTGCCATGGACACAACTGCTGTTGATGGTCCTGGTCGTAAATTGGGTCATATTCCAGCTAATGCACTCCCACATGTTCTAAACACTTTATTTCTGTCCTATGCGCCACCGATTCATCACATACCCTTCAGTGACCGTTGACGACTTCCCACCACCATGTTTCTTTAGTGTCGTCAAGTCTCCTCCAGAGTCAACTAAAAGTGTAGCACACGATCTTCGAAATGCATGAGCTATATAGGTATGACTTAACATTTTCAAGTAGAAAAAAATTGGCTACTGTTTCAGGTATCTTATAAAATTGATTTTTGTCTTCAACCTGATTGATCTATTTTCCATTGCGATATTCATAAGACAGGCGGCGATTCTTTGCTGCTGCTGGACGAAAGGCTATGTATATTCTGTAAATTTAATGTATTTTTCAGTAACTATAAATCTTTGCTTAAGTTTCACAATTAATAGCGTTTTCGAATCGTCAAAATTATCTAATGTTACCTGGCTGATTTCACAAATTTGACAAGTTCCTGCAATCCCAAATACAAGAACAACATTGGCCATTAAATCAACAAGAGCGATATTTAAAAAATTACTAATATGTGTACCAGTAAAAATCGCAATTTCTTGGTCATGTAACCTTACATATTATTGGATTGTAACGCACTTTTAATCATTGAATAATTAGATACCCTGTTGATGGCTTTTGTTGTTGCGTCAATTCCGAAAAATAAGCCAGTAACTCCGTCTCCGAGAAAGAACCTGCATGTCATTTTCACCTTCTAAACTCCGAATAAGAAATATTTTTGAACTTTAAATATTCAAAATAACTAATAAATAAACTTAAATTGTTAATTAACTATTGTTTATTTTGCGTTATTCTGTTACATATTGAGCATACGGCACTTATACCGCGAAATAGTGTTGAAAATTATTAATTAATTCTTTTATGTATATTATTATGTTATCTCATTTCTTCTGACTGTTACATTTTACTTTTTAGGTACCCTCTAAACATATAAACACAGGATTTATATTTGCTCCAGTTATAGAATCTGGGGAAGATGCTGTAGCAACAGATCTTTCATATGAAATATTAGAAAGGGGTGAAATCAATAAAGTGCCAATGATTATAGGAATGAATTCAGAGGAAGCCATAACTCAAGTTAACAGTAAGCTATTTTAAGTGACTTTGCTTTTAATGTATTTAGGTAAAGATAATTTAGTTTTTGAAAGCTTTTACCGAGTGTTTGGTTGTTTCAATAGATGTAAAGTACTTTGGAATTGAGGAGATTATTATTATCATATCTTTTCAGATTGAAACTATTTGTTGATGTCCATTGATAAAAAATGACTTATGTTGATTTTTAGTCTACCCATGCGTTGTTTCAACACTTTTACCCTTGCATTATTTGTTTCTTAAAAAAAATCAATCATCGAAAATAATAACAAATTTTAGATACATGAGTAATCTAAAATTTATTAGGTACTCGTTAAGATTCTTCAGTATAATTGTTATAGTCAATTTTAATTTAAATTGTTTTCAACCAAACAAAAAAATACTTTTAAACAAGTGAGAAAAATTGATGTTAAATTCATACTATGCCAGATTCCATTAAGCAATTTTGAGTCTTCAAAATTAATAACATGCTAGAGCATATTATGCAAAAACGTAAAACATATTACATTGACATACAAAAAAAGTGGTCTGCACCTTTGATTTGGCCCAAAAGGGTTTATGTATATTGGTATCGATTCTCTATTTCACTTATATCTTGATGGAATCTTTTCTTGTCGTTCTCTGTAGTCTCCAAGGTTTTGCGGAAAGTAGTCAAGGTGAGAGTGTAGAAAGTGCAATTTAAGATTCATCAAGCAACCTAACTGTTTGAAATTTTTTAACATCTCTTCAACCAAATTTTCGTAATCCCACTCTCATTTCGTAAAAAGTTCCGAGAGATATTCTTGAAACTTTGCCATTATGCTTTTTCAGTGTCATTTATCTTTGTAATGAAATTTTCGTTTCGGAGTAGGCATTTGAGGACCATCAAAAATATTTTCTTTTAATTTCGCATCACTTATCGCTGGAAACTTCTCTCCTAAATATCGAAAACAGTCACCGTCTTTGTTCAAAGCTTTGACAATCTGTTTGATGAGACCAAGCTTGATCTGAAGAGGTGGTAGTAGAATTTTGAAGGTTCAATCAATGGTCTGTGTATGCTGTTCTTTGGCACTGGATTAAACTCCTTTTTCGTTAGCCACACTTTCTGAACGTTGTGATTTTTCCTATCCCTGCTATCCCATATACATAGGAAGCAGGGATATTTTGTGAAACCTGATTGCTGGCCCAGGATCATGGTTGAAATTTTTAGATCACCGCATACTTTCCGTTGATGTTCCGACTAGTTTATTTTCTCCAACACTGTCTGCAAATTCTCGTAAGTCTCTTTCAACTTCGTTGAATGAGCTATTGGAAGTTGTAGCAATCTTCAGTAACGGTTATTAAGCAATAACATTTATGTGAAGAACACTTGATCCAATATAGAAAACGTCTTTCTAAATTTTTGTCACTCTCATTAATATGAGTTTTTGCTATTTCCAATTATTTTTTGCATTTTTTTTGCAAAATCTGTAGGGGGATACAGCTAATAGATATCAGACTCAAATTCAGCGTATCAAAATATATAAAAACACACTTGACCAACGTCAGAAAAAAAAATTTTCCGATTTTTTTTGGGCTCAATAATGTGATTTTTGTCGATTTTTCGCTTTTAGGTGATTTTTCGCTATTATTTTATGATTTTTACAAAATCTGGGGTGGGCTGCAACTTTAAAGACTTCAGATTTGGATTCAGCACATCAAAATACATAAGGGACCCACCTGATCAAGTTCAGAAAAAAATTTTTCGAATTATTTTGCGCTCACAAACGTGTTTTTCGGCGATTTTTCACTATTTTTTGCCAATTACTCAAAATTTTGGCTATTTTCGAGTTGAACGGACTTCATATTTGGATTCAGTGTGCGGGTGTTATTATTCTTTTCCCGGAAAACATTTGTTTGGGCGGCAAATAGGTACGATGCTATTCAAAGTGATTCTTTATTTCCTAGAGTTTCATCTCCTGTGAAGATGCAGTCAAGAAAATCGTCACCTTCATTGCCCCAGCTAATATTTAATATCAGCGGAATGACTTGGTATACACTTTATGATATTGAATATTCATATTGTCAGTGATTATTTCATGCATTAGAGAACATTAGTGGACAGTAAATTCTAAATAGTTTGTGATTCCCGATTTGTAAAAAATGTATAACATACGACTTTTTATGGAGACACTAGATATTTTTGGAGACACTAGTATTAAAAAAACTATAGAAGAAGCATCATACCTTTGACATCGTGTGTTGTTTTGATGCGTTTATCTCTGTTTTCATAATTTTTTCAGTTTTCCATTTTAGGTTTGGGATCGTTTAAAAAAGTAATGAGAACTTACGACAATGATCTCACTATTATCGTTAACGATGACTTGCATGTAGATGAAGCTACTACTCAACTTACAATTGGTGAAAGTATTAGAAAGATTTATACAGATGGTCTGTTTCAAGATGACTTGGCTTCGTCAGTCAGGGTAATTATTACTCAATTAATTTGTTGATTATAATATAAGTACCACTTGAACTCCTTTGCAGTTTATTAGTGACAGCAGATATTCTATGAATATTATAAAATATGCTCAAATTATTTCAAATTTCACAGAAGTTTATTTTTACCAGTTTTCATACGATGGGGAATTGGGAAACGTTGATTCGTATATTGACGGTAAGCAGCAACTTATATTATCCTCTTGGACTTACTAATTAATTAAAGTCGCCCACGTTTCAGGAGCTGAGAGTGTAGCGCATTCAGAGGAACTTCAGTATCTTTGGAGAAACTCGAGAAATGATGATATAGAACAGTTTTCTGAGGCTGATGTTCTTACTCACAAACGATTGATCAAGATGTGGACGAATTTCGCAACGCGATTGTAAGTGTTTGTCTTTTTATTCTTTTTTACATAGGACGTTTAATAAATTCATATCATAATTTCAGAAGGATGTGTCTTGGTTTAGTTTAGAAAAAAAAGCCATAATCAACTACTGGTCCAAGACTACTAGTTGAGGCACAGAGTGTTGACATTTCTAAAAACTATGGCATTTATTAAAATATCATTAATTTCGCTAAATTTTTTAGAAAATTGTTAAGTTTAATGACTATAATCAATTTGTCTTTCAGTAATTTTAATTAAAAACTGTTTTCCCTTCTGTCTTTAAGCAATCCTGTATCCATCACCAACAGTTTTATGAAAAGGTGCTACTTTCTGTATCTTTCTTTATTTTGATGTGAAGAATTGCCCATTTTGGTAAACATGAATTGAGAAGTTGAGCAACTATAATAGATAGAAAAATGGTCAAATAGAGATAGATTTAGAACATTCTGTTACTAACTTAATAGCACTCTCAAACATTTTGTTTTTACGATTTTTGAAATCCTTAAAAATCTTATCACAACTTCTTGCAAATAATTTCGTTCTGTATTCAAATTTTTGGTCCAATGCTGCAGTTCTGAAAAATCGTCCCAATTTTCTTTACAGCTCTCTTTTAGTTTATGAGCGCCATATTGAATTGTACACTGAATGAAAAGAATGTTTTATAACCTTTTCAGCTTTTCCAATTTTTCTCTTTCCGAGATATGTGCACCATCAAAATGACCTACAAAAAGACACGATTTAAACTGAAAATTATAATATAAAGGTAACACTGTTTGGTTTTATTGTAACTCATTATAGGAATCCTACGTTCGAGAGTGACGAACTGCTAGAAAATATAACATGGCCACAGGTTGCATCCAATAACTTTCAATATCTGGATATCCGCGAGGAATTAACAGTGAAGACAAATCCTAAAGGAAATGTTTTTACACCGTGGGATACTATTTTTACAGAATATGCTGTTCGACCATATGATACATATTAAAACACTATAACTGTTAAACATATAGTAACAATAATAAAATGGATGGGTTGTTAAACTAAAATTGCCTCATTTTCTCCGTAATTGTTCGAGATAGAAAAAAAGATGCAAGTTGTAGAGGTTTTTAAAAAGTTTTTGTCCCACGTACCACAAATACTACATTGAGTAGCCAAGACCAATAACTCATACAACTCTATGTTATGCCTCGCATATACGTACTTTGTCTGTAGTGTAGACATTATAATAATTGTATTAGTCGTTAGGTGTTCATCTATGACATACTACTGATGAGGAGAAACAAGTCCGAAACCGGTATATACAGGATGAGTCATTAATAATGATACACAGCTTAATGGCAGATTGTTGACGTCAAAATATAGTGATTGAGCCAAACATACCTTAAACAATTGTTACTCCGTTTCGTTCTACAGGTTGTTAAAGTTGAAAAAATATTTTCGATTTTTATCTATATTTTAGGTATATGTATGGACCGATTGTTTTGAAAATTTGTAGTTTCTCCTTTTTTGAGGAGACAAATACGAATATGCAAACAGTGTTGGGGTCACGTCTAGAGGGCGCTAGTTATACTGTCCAATCAATGTAAAAATATGTCTAACTTTTTGTATTTTACAATTTTGAATTTTTTAACTATAAATTATTGAACTAGGTTCAATTCTACATAAAAAAGGTATATTAGTTACAAATCGATAAACTAAACCGTTTTCGAGATACATACGTTTTAAGTTTTTGAGATTCGGCGGGAATTAAATAAGAAAATTAGCAGGTCTTAAGATAACAAGCCTGAATTAAGAATTAAGACAAACATTACAGCAACTGAAAATTTTATTACACTTTCTTAGCCTTTTATTTAACTTTTGTCTGACGTTAAATAAAGTTCTATGTTGTTTTAGCGAATTTAAAACAGGGCTACGTGCAGGCTAAGGTACTTCGCTACCGCATCCAATCCAACGGTGCGGGAAATTTCTATTAAGATATTCTCTTCTCTAAAAAATAACGACAAGGAAAAAACTACTTCCTAATCAAATTGATTAGAATTGGCAGAAACAATATGGTATTGTAATGACAGCTGTCAATTTATTATATCAATGCCTACTACTTTGGAAAAAATTATTTTCTAATTTAATTCCAGTCGAATCACAAAAATTTAAAACGTCTGTATCTCGAAAACAGGTGACTTTATCGATTTGTAACAAGTATACCTTTTTTATCTAGAATTGAACGTAGTTTAATAATTTCTATTTTAAAAAATTCAAAATTGTAAAATATAAAAAGTTAAGACATATTTTTACATTGACAGGACAGTACAACTAGCGCCCCCTAGACGTGACCCCAACACTATTTGCATATTCGTATTTGACACCTCAAAAAACGTAAAACTACAAATTATTAAAACAATCGGTCCATACATACTTAAAATATAGCAAAAAATCGAAAATATTTTTTCAACTCCCTGTAAAACTTAAAGGAGCAACAATTGATTAAGGCATGTTTGGCTCAATCGATATATTTTGACGTTACGCAATCTGCCATTGAGCTGTATATATATCATTATTATTAATGACTCACCCAGTATATACCGGTTTTGTACTAACGATAAGTTCAGTGAAATAAGTTAAAGATTCAATATTACTTTCCATGCTTAGCACATAAAGTATCAGTTATTCTCCTAACATCATAATATACTATTATTTATTAAAAATGAAATAATAACGGAATTATTTCTGAGTTTTAATGTATATTAATTAAATTGTCACTATATCGTACATTTCCACTTTTGCAAATAGTTTATCTCATTATAAAGTAAATTATTTCATTAACAGGTATATAGCTATTACGCCTTATTATTTATCTGTCGAGGACAATTTTGCGCCCGAGCGAAGCAAGGGCTGGCAATAGAGTCCGAGGCTGGTAAATTATACTTAACTGCTTCGTGGTGAATAACATTTTATCTGCTCCTACAGTTCTTTATGGTTCATGAAATAAACATTAGTTTTTATTTTTTGACATTTCTTAATCAATTCATTTTGACATTATTGCAAAGTCGCCTTGGTTGTTTGGATTTTGTCTTTACTAAGATGTTTATAAACAAAGCTACATAAAAGTTGCAATTTTGCTGGTTTGAAATTATTATTTCCAAATGAATGCAGCAAATGCTGCCTGCGAATTTTTATTGCCAGATAAGTCGAAAGTGCGCTACGGACGAGCATATAGAAATTTCAAAGAATGGTGCCAGAACAAAAGTACTGATGTTTCTGAAATGTCACTGCTAGCTTATTTAATGGAGAAGCCAAGAACTTTAAAAGTCACCGGCGAGTTTGTGGAGTGAATACTCAATGATTAAGTCAACTATTTTCATAGAGGAGAACGTGGATATATCAAAATACTCTAAGCTGAGAGCATTTTTGAAACGTAAGTATGACGGCTATACATCTAAAAACGTTTTTACAAGAGAACAAGTTAACGATTTTCTCGTTCAGGCACCCGATAACACATATTTACTAATGAAGGTAGTGGCGGTCTTAGGCATTGCAGGAGCATACCGTTCTGATGAGTTATGCAGACTTACTTTGGACGTCAATTTCAAAAATTTCGATGACATTGTTGTACTTAGTTACAACTCCAGATTCTGAAAATGTTATGTCACGTACGTTTACAATTACTTCTGGTCTGGATTCTGTTTCTCACCTAGAAATTCTCAAGAAATATATCAAGATTAGATTGAAAATTAAAACTGAAATTTCACGCTTTTTTATGGGTTATCAAGCAGGTAAATGTTATAACCAACCAGTCGGCAATAATACCCTTTCTATGATTCCTAATAAGATTGCACAGTTTTTGAAACTAGAACATCCTGAAACATATACAGGCCATTAATTCCGAAGAACATCGGCAACGTTACTGGCTAATATAGGTGTTGATGTATTATTAGCAATCAAGAGACATGGTGGATGGAAATCAGTCACAATTGCAGAAAGTTATGTTGCTAACAGTTTAAGTAACAAAAATGAAATAACCAACAGGACAACGACACTTCAACTCCAAGGTTCTAGTATTACGTCGCATCATGCTGTTTTAATGGATCAGTTAGATAATATTGATTTAAGTCTACAGAGTGTTTCATTTGAAAAGATGTCGCAACAATGTAATTTACTCTTTAGCATCTACCCATCCCACCTGGCAACTTCCAACTCCGATATTTCAATGACCATTGGAAATTCGGGAAATGCGAATAGAATAATTTTTGCTTAAAATTAGTCATAGACTTCACATACGAAGTGTCTCGGATATATATATAAAGCAGGTAAGTCGTTGAAGTTATTCTTTATTTTTCTTGCCCTTAAATGTCCTGATGATTTGTTCGACATTCCTGTCAGTGTATCAATTTGCCCTAAGAGCAGATTCAAAAGTGCTGTAGTTCTTTGTCTAAATACGGATTTTTATGTAGAAGCAGATACGCTGAACAGAGTTACCCCTCTATACATTCTTTCGTATCTGTGGTCTTAGTTTTCATACAAAAGCTGTGATGCTCAGACGTTGGTTTCACATTTTACTGTATAGTCTGTACTGTACGTATTTGCAGGGTATACTTGTTCAGATAGTTTTAATGCAGTTGATATAAGTCATAAATATTGAACAATTATAAACATTATTTATGGATGAAATGGTTAGAAAAACATAACCCATAAATAATATAATAGCAGTTTTCGGTATTAACCTAGCTGCTTTAGACGTGTCTTTTCGTATTTTCATCTGTTGCAATTACAAAAGGACAATCATGTCTAGAACATCCAGATGTCAGTACCGAACGTAACTAATATATTTTTACCTTAAATTAATTTGCTGTAACTACGAACATATTTATTAATTAATTGTAACAAAAATTAAATAGATTTAGAGCACAATAATTCAAACTGACCGCCTGTATGGAAAGTTGGACTTGTTAGAACTTTTCAGCGTCGACGCTACAATGCAGGATTAGCCACAACCATCGTTACAAAAGCATAAATATAGAGAGGAGCTCGTTTCAGCGTCTTGGAGTCTACGTGAAGAGGAACCCTAAGTGTTCTGGCTAGCATACGACACGTACTCGAAATATTGACGTGTTTTTGAGATTCAACGTTCAGATGTCTATCCGTCAGTTTTCCGTAAACACTCTGCCTTAGGGTGCCGTCTAGTTTCCTCTTGACAAGGATATCAAGGAACGGTAGGGAGCCATTTGTTTCCACCTCCATAGTGAAGCTATGGCTTATGTTGTTATGTCGTCAATATATCTGAAGCAGTCCTTTGGCTTTAAAGTTGCTGATTCCAGAGTGTTCCTCTCGAAGGCTACCATGTAGGTATTTATCAAAGCGGGGGCAATTGTGAATCTTAAGCTGCTAATTAAGTTTGTCCATCAAATTGATTAAAGGAAAAAAAAAAACTGAACACACTTTCGCCAAGTCTACTTAATTTTTATTCTTGTCTGTGATAAGTCCTCGGTGAACTTCTTCTAAAGCATGTATAATTGCCAAATAATGATATCTTGTCAAAACTCACTAGGATATCATTTGGGTCAAGGTGTGGAACACAATGTCACGCGAGAGACCTAATTAATACCATAATTTTGATGAGCTAGTAGATTTTATTCAGCACTTTACAGGGAGGTAACAGAAATAAATTCAAAAGAATTGAGATAATTTTAATCGAGGTTAAGGGTGGGATTTGGAAACGACTCCTCCGCGAGGATGAGCAACCTGAGGATTAGAACTACACGGACCAATAACTAAAAGCTATGAACTAATGCACACGTCAAATATAAAAAATAACCATAAGACAGTCTCTAGTTTCAGAGTTTCTTCCAAAGCAGGGTGAGATAAGATCTCGAAACGTAGTAGTCTAAACCAGCAACTTGGCAATCAGCTCGGAAATGGGCAGCTTGTATATTTATGACTGTACCCTTATATACTTATACAGTGAAAATATTAGAAATTTCTTACAATTAGATGTTGTTACTAATTAATTTTTGAAGTTTGGCGGGTAAAATAAATGTTTGCTACCGACATAATTCCTGACATTATTTAGTACGAGCAATGACCGAAAAGATGAATGACAGAGTACAAGAGTCTAGAGTAGAATCAAGAGACAGATTCTTTTTTGCTTCGAAGCAGACGGCTGAGAAGCAGGTTGTATTCTTGGTCGCACTAAATGACGTCACAGTGCGTTCTTGCTTATGCAACAAAATTTAATTTTTTACATAATTTTAAACATCTGCAATGGATTTGTGGCATTAAAGAAATTATTTTTTTTATAAATGATAGCTGTTGTAATCATTAGACCGAGTAATTTGTCACCAAAAACACCACACCACACATTTACTGAAAACCATTGCTGGAACTGAGATCTCTATACAACGTGAGGACAGTGAATGTTGTGAAAATTTAGTATACCGTCTCTAGTAAAAGCACAGTCATCCATAAAAAGCACCTTGCTTGTAAAATCCGGATCTTGTGCTATTTGATATCGAAACCACTAGCAAAATTCCACACGGGGCTGAAAATCATTATTATTTAATGCCAGAACCATTGGTACCTAATACGGGTGTAATAATTAATCCCGTAGTATACGCCACTCGGTACTGTTATGTACACCCGGCCAATGTCGCCAATATCTCGAATACTACGCCTCGGATCTTCCTCCACGAGGTTTATGATGTTTTCCTCGTTCTCGAAAACATGTTACGACCTTTCCCCTCCACGACCTTCATATGTCACGTAGACATTCTCGGTATCCCGTAACCTTTGAACTGCCTTTTGCGCTGTTCTACTGTTAGGTTGTCGACTGCTATGGTAACGGACCGCATACAAACGCCATATCTGCTAGTTTTTGATCAGAAAACATACTGGAACACACAACTAAAAAACATTGACATACTGACCCACCATCAGATTTGTTAGATTGTGGAACATCAGCCAACTAGACAAGCGCCTCAAGCATGTATCGAGTCCGAAGCATTGTGGTCGTGCACGTGCACAAGATGCGCATTGTCGCCTTACATTTATGGTTAATTTTCTGAATTAATTTTCTCGAAAACAGAAACATTTAGACAATCAGTTGTTTAATATAAGTTGCTCATTTTCGTGCTCTTTATCACCTTTTTCAATTAACGCATTTATTTCAGAAACACTCTGTGACATTTGATATTTCCTATGTAATTTTAAACCATTTTTTGAAATAAAACCACTTGAACTTGATTTTGAATCACTTGTCGTAAACAGAATATTTATTATTTCCGTTGAATAAACCAAACTTAAAGCAAAAATATATATATATCCAGAGTTTCCTAAAATGGTTTCGTCAAAGAAATGTAAAAAATGGCGCATTACTATGTATTTACTTTCAAGGAGACAAGCTATTCTCTATTGTTTTCCGAAGCAATGGAAAAGTTTACCGACAATGTTGCCTCTACCTTTAGATGAAGTATTTATTGCTCTGAATAAATATTTGCGCTATTGTTTTTCACTCTTAAACAAATATATAAGAAAGCCACCCCTTAATATTGCCTTAATCGCGTCGCAATAGAAGGGTAGATTCATAATTAGACAACAAACGCATCCATCTAATTTGACAAAACGTGTATTGGCGGGGTTTACCTTTTGTTTACTATTAATATAGTTAATTCATCACGTCTGAAAATATAACCGAGAACTTGAAAACAAAATGTGTTACTCTAGTTAGTAATGGGGTCGAAGGAAAACGGGTATGTCTTCACAATCACGGGCAGGATGGATCAGAGTGACAGTGGCTTATATAGGCGTCATCAGAGGGTTATGAAAAATGTAAGGACCTACTGTAGGGAGTACTGCGATTATACGGGTATACATGGGTTCAGGTACTTCGGAGAAAGAAGAAGTCTTTTCGAAAAGTAAGTAAAATAATATAAACTATATCCTCTTATTTCCAATTATTAAAAATTGGAGGCTGTGAGTTTTTCTCCTTATTTGTAGGCTCTAAAACAATTAGAAATCATAGTTCTTTAAAATATATTGTAGAAACTGTGTAAAGTATCCTTCGTGAAAATTAAATTTTTAGCAACATTTTGTGTATTTTCGGAAAATCACTGGTTTTCGAAATATTGTTGGTCATTGAAATATCTTAAAAAATAATTAAGGTCATGTCATGTTCTATTAAAAATAGTAAATGTATATACAGGGTGTTTCACGGAGACGAAACATTAGATATATGTATTTTAATTTTGAAAATTTGGGTATTAGTGTTTTCATTCTCAATTAAAATAATGGCGTCCACCTAGCGCTTCCAGTTATATCGGAAGTTGACATCATCTTTGTTATGTATATAAATGGAACACCCTGTATATTATTGCAATTTTGGATTCTAAGTCAATTTTTAGATGAACTTTCATAAAGGCTTCCTATTCTTAAAGTTAACCGTTTTTGATATATTTAATTTTTTTCAAAAAAAAAATTAAAAAGCACTGCCTTATTCAAAAAGATGTGTATTTTACAGTAATAAAGTAAAAAGAGCGATAAAATTTATAGGCGACATAACTAAAACTCTAAGGCTTCCCTGCCATAATTTTAAAATGAATGTATGAAATTTCATATAAGATGGTAGAAATTCAAAGCCGAATTTAATCAACTTTAAACCATCTTAACTTTTTTTTAATGGAATTCCCTGTACATCCTGTATATTTTTGCGCAACCTGATGAACAATTTTGTTCTCTTTCGAATGGTATATTCCTTATTTCCAGAAGAGATAGGTATCTCTTCTGGTTTTAAGGTATTTACTGTTTTTTTTTGCAGTCAACGGATATTGCATAATTTCTTGCGAGGATGGCTGTGAAATGTTTAGTGGAACTTCAAAACAAGCACCTAAACCTTATTGTTGTCAATTTAACACATACAGTGAATGTTTGAGTATTATTTATTATTAAAGAAAGGAAAACGTTAACATTTATTCAAATGCTGTCATTCTAAATTTATTATTTATTCATGGAGAGTGTCACAAGATAATTATTATTTTTATTACATAGTAGCAAGGACAGAGGCAAAGCCTATTTAGTCCAATAAAATATACAAAATGACAGTTAACAGCTTTTAGAGTAACAGTAAAATAAATAGCTAACATAAAAGAAAAAGAACAAATAAGTATGTGAACAGAATACCAAAATAACAATATAAATCACAGCTAACTAGCGAAACAGGCCATAAACCGCACACGAAAATACACTAGGCGCGCACTCAATGTAAAAATTCTGATGACATCCATACATCCAACCTGTTCTTGAAAGAGTTGACCGATGGGGCAGTAACAACAGATGAAGGTAGGCTATTCCAATGGTAGAACACTCTATTTGGGAAGAAATTTTGACGCAAAGACGTTTTGAAGTTTTCTCTCGATAATTTAAACTGATGACCACGTAAACGCTCATCCAAATTTAACCTAAATAGGTCTCCAAAAGTTAAACTGTATTGATTATTTATAATCTTATACATTTGGATAAGATCACCACGAAGACGTCTCACATTAGTACAAGTAATTCTCAAATTATCCAAACGGTGATGATATGGAAGAGATCTAAATTTGGGGATCCATTTTGTGAATCTTCTCTGCACGCTCTCTATCAGATTAATATCTTTTATCAGGTAAGGGGACCATATGTTCACGCAGTATTCCAGATGCGGACGAATATATGTTTTATATAATTTTAAGAAGACCTGATCGTTTGAACTCTGGAAACACTTATTTAGAAGATAAGACACGGAGTTGGCTTTTTTCACAACGGTGGAAATATGTTCAGACCAAGTGAGACTGGAATTGATTACTACACCCAAATCATTCTGGTTTTCGANTAAACCGCACACGAAAATACACTAGGCGCGCACTCAATGTAAAAATTCTGATGACATCCATACATCCAACCTGTTCTTGAAAGAGTTGACCGATGGGGCAGTAACAACAGATGAAGGTAGGCTATTCCAATGGTAGAACACTCTATTTGGGAAGAAATTTTGACGCAAAGACGTTTTGAAGTTTTCTCTCGATAATTTAAACTGATGACCACGTAAACGCTCATCCAAATTTAACCTAAATAGGTCTCCAAAAGTTAAACTGTATTGATTATTTATAATCTTATACATTTGGATAAGATCACCACGAAGACGTCTCACATTAGTACAAGTAATTCTCAAATTATCCAAACGGTGATGATATGGAAGAGATCTAAATTTGGGGATCCAAGATAATAAATAGGACTTGCAGGGTATTTAATGAAAGATATCCTCATTTACCACTAATGAGTAGACACATTTTACGAAGTATTTAAAAAAATCAATTAGAACATGGTTTAGATGGAGGTAACATAGTTAACGTTTTGGCATATTTTCATGTTTACCCTGAATCGTCAGTTCGTGCTGCTGAATAGGATTTAGACATCCAAAATATTTTGAATACTAATAGTCAGCATCCATTTAAATTCAATTTTGTACCTGCAGTTCATCCCGGTGATGCTGAAAGACGAACCCAATTCACAAGAAGATCCAGAGTTTTTACGTAAAATCATTTGGACAGATGGGTTAAAATTTAGTAACGAAAGTATTTTTAACAGACATAATCGACACTTTTGGGCATCAGAAAATCCACATACCATCCGCGAAAGAAATTTTCAACACAAGTTTAATGTCAACGTATTTTGCATAGTTAAAGACAATCAGGTTAGGTACTTTATTTACGAGTACAATTTAAATACATAAAGGTACCTCCATATTTTGAGAACCGTTGTAACAGATTTCTTAGAGGATCTACCCCTAGATCAACTAAGAAGCTACTGGTATCAGCAAGACGGTGCTTATTATTATTATGAAAACCCGCCAGTTAAATGAAATGTTTGAAGAGGTGGATTAGACGTCTAGGACACTGGGATTGGCCACCAAGATTTCTAGATCTGTCACCACCAGACTTTTATATATGGGGTGCAATAAAAGATAAAGTGTACACTCAACGCTAGTTTATTCCAAAGAAAACCTAGTTGTCCGTATAAGAGAAGACTTTGAAACTTTACTTGATGCCCAAATATCCGGAGCTGTTACAGATGGGGCAATAAGAAGAATACGTAATTGTTTACAAGTAGATGGCGGTCACTTCGAGCAAATTAATTAGATTTCTGAAAATAATAAATAATTATTATTCGTATTATGTAGTNGGTCTCACGCACGACCCAGGCAGCTTTTTTTTTGGTGCTGTGATAATTAATCAGTGTTTGCCTTCTACTGACAATATATAATGAATAGAAAATAATGTTTTAATCGACCTTTGCGTATTTGTATTTGCCATGAAAACAATACATTAAACACACACTTTTTAGGGTCTGCTGGATAATTATATTTATTTCGAGCCTGGTGGTGTGTATTGGAGTGATCTACAAAACTTATATAAAATGGCAGTGTAGTCCAGTGATAGTCAATTTTGCATCCGAAGAAAAGAATATTTACCAGATACCGTTTCCTGCAGTGACGATTTGTCATGAGGTTAAAATTTCTAGGGAGTATTTTAATTATTCGAAAACTTTAAAAGCCATTGCTCAAGGAGAAAACATTTCAAAAGAGGAGTTGAGTATATTTTGCAATTTAAAATTTTCATGTTTTCTTTATAAACATTTTGAAATTCGCATTCGCATTTGCAAGTGCAAATTGCACAGGCACACAAAAAAGTCTAAATCCAAGAGTGTGCAGCAATGCATTTATTTTGCAGTAGGAATTTTTGAGCAAGTAATGAATTATTGAAATGGATTTTACTAGAAAACGGCTCATGCTATTAAAATCTAACAAGAGTACCTTTTTTATGCAAAATATGATAAATTTTCATATTTTCGTTTCAGGAAAAAATCCTGTATTTTCTTACGCCTGTGTAGTAAATTTTGATCTGTATATTATACCGATTAAGCATATAAATAGTAATACAACCCCAAAATTTCGTGATTTAATATTAAACCGTTTTGAAGTTATGAAATAAAAACTGTTTCCTGAGTTATTCCATCAAGGGACTGTATCTCCATTAGGGACCGCCACTGACAAAAACTCTGCTAAGGTTTTCATCATATTTCGACATGTTTTACATACTCTCCAATTTTGAGTACCTATTTTGTTATCACCTTGTATATACCTAATAATAAATTTGAAATTATCTATTTTAAGTGATTTAAAAAGCAATTTTATGTCGAACATCTGACAGCGCAGCATTATTTCATATACTTTAAAAGAACTGCATCTCAAATTCAATGAAATTATCTTTATCCATAACACAAAACCTTGAAATTAATGAAATAGAGAATCACATTTTATTTTTATACACTGTACATATGTCTTTGTTCTTTTATGAAAAAAGTTTTTGGAAATATCAGAATTAGAATCACCTTGTAAATTTATAGATTTATACTTATGTTACAATTTTGAATGAAGCAAATTCAGATAATAATAAAAACATAAAAGAATGTTACCTACTTATTGTTAGTTTAAGAATTATGTTTATGTTAGGTACACGCAAACAAATTATTTGTTTGCTTGTAATATTTTTTATTTTTTGTGCATTAAATTTAATAGAAATGTATTACAATATCTCTAAAAAATTGTTTCTTTTCAGTCTGAAGAAGTTGCAGTACATGTCCTTGGTATGCAGTGAAGGAAAAATATATTATGACAAGATTCCCAAAATAAATATCATTGATGAAAAAGATTTCTATAATTTCTTGGATCGCGTACGTATTCCATAGAAACTAATTACAGGTCTATAACGTACAACAATTTTCTAGTTTAAGACTCATGTTACTTCAAGAATAATACAATTTTAAATTTCCTGATGTACCGGGTTATTCATATAACATTTTACCCCCTTAACTTTTTTATTTTTTGAGTTAGACAAAAATAGTTAAGATAAAAGTTGTAGGGAATCTTTCTGTGAGTTTAATGAGTTTATGAAAATAGAAATTATAGAGGACGTTCCAGAGATACGCACCGAACTTATGTTTTTTTTAAATGGAACACCCTGTATATTATTCGATATTCGGAATCTCTCAATATTCTCCTTTGAAAGACCAAATCTCGCAATGGACAATATAAAAATTGCTATGGAAAATAATATTATAATATTAGATATTTATGCTCTATTTTAAATAAGTACTGTTTAGGTGCTGCTTAACGGCATTTGCTGTGTGTGCTGGAGCACAGTCTTGCTGCCAGACAATTTAGCACATCAAAAGCATTTACCAAATTACATATTTCTCTTCTGAGAAGTTCAATATATTTCAGTCCATTAAAGAGATAAAATACTGGACCTGTTTTGCCTCTGAATAGAGATATATTGGTGTGGATTTTCTGACGCCCAGTGATGTGAATTCCTTCCATTAAAACCGCAACTTGTTGTAAAAGTGGTCGCATCAGTCCAAAAGATAGAATCTAATAAATTATAAAAACAAATAATAATAGCAATATCAAACATGATAGCAGTGGTAATAATAGTAGTAGTAGTACCGTTGACGCTGGCGATAGGTACTTAGTGATAGTAATTGTAGTAGTAACAGTAGAAGAAGTAGTAATAGTTGTTGTTGCGGCAATGTAATAGTATTAATAGCAGCATTACGAACCTATAAAATCTTCATTTTCTAAATGTCTAGCATTATTTGGCAAAACTCGCGCCGCCTATTAGTGTCATTTCCATATAATTTTTGTACCAGGCGATAACAATATGGTTTATATTTGTTTACTTTCAATACTCTCTGAATCGAACTCCAAGATATTTCCAAATACCTTAAAGCATCTTGAATCGAAAGTTTCGGGTGTTCTTGAAGTAAAGTAAAATCATTTCTTGCATATTTTCAGTTATAACGTTGTGGGGTTTATTTTTTCTTTCCTTATTTTTTACCGTACCAGTATTTCTCCATTTGTTGTAGATATATTTGATATATATTTTATGAGGTATACGTTTTGGGGGAAATCTTGCAGATTCGCGTCTAGTGCGCATGGCATTTTTCTCACAAGAAAGATAACATTCAACAATATAATTTTTTTCAACACTATAAAAGTTATAAACCATTTTCAAAGGAGTGCGAAAAATAGTGTTACATGTGTCAAATCGGTTCTATAAAAACATATTTATTTTACATAGCGATTTTGATATTTATTTTTCATGGCGAGATTCAGTCTTTCAATACAGAATATTGAGCAAATTATTACGTAAACCTACAACATATTTACATTGTTGGAATCAGGAAGAGGTAGAGATTCCGAAAATCGAATAATATACAGGGTGTTCCGTTTAAAAAAACATAAGTTTGGTTCGTGTCTTTGGAACGCCCTGTATAATTTCTATTTTCATAAACTCATTAAACTCACAGAAATATTCCCCACAACTTTTATCTTAACTATTTTTATCTAACTCGAAAAATTAAAAAGTTAAAGGGGTAAAATGTTATATGAATAACCCTGTACTTTAGAAACGCAAAGCTCTATAATTTCCAGTAACGTGAAGATTTCTTAAAATATTTTGACAAACTACTCTTTTTCCTTGTATTAGATTCTCAGGAAATACTCTGTATAATGAATTAAATGTCAAAATGAATTCACATTTTAATAATCCTACTATCCGCGTCATTGTACAATAACATGTACATGTCTGCTTCCTGCCTTTGATCTGAAGTTTTGCATATAAAGGCTGCCCTCTTGTCCTAGCATGTCGGTGAACAATCCAGGTTTTTTGCTGAGGGACGTTGGCTGTGCATTTCATTGTCGATTGTGCGTGTCTTAGTGAGTTTGACGTTTTGTTTGGTCGAGTGTATGGCACAAGTTTTTATTGCAGGCAGTAGCATTGTGTATCGTGAACGTAGAGCAGCACACGACTTAACTATAGATTTGGCATATTTCTGCTACTACAACGCCACTTACTAGTATAATATAGATTACTACTGTTTATTTATTTGATTGTTGCAACAAAGTTTTCGATGTCTAATTATTACAGAGGCTTCTATTCAGTTTTCTTATTTACCTAATTTTTTTCTTTACGGGCTTGTTATATTAACAGTTGATTTTTAAATAATATACAATATAGAGGGTGTTTCTGAAATATAGCGCCAAATTGAAATATTGAATACGCAATATCATTTTCAACAAAAACTTTCTTATTAACATGGCAGTTTAGTACTGTGTTTTAGAAACAACCTGTATAAAGTTTCAAAGACTGAAAATATAACTAGTGTAAAATATTATGATTTTAGTACTTGATATACAGAATTAGAATTACAGGTTTCAAATTATAAGATCTTTGTACACTCTTTTAAAAGCCAATTTACATCTTATTAAAACTCTAAAAAGTAATATGCTCATCTAATTGAAGAGCAATTTTTTTGCAAACATTAGGTCAATATTTTAAAAAGACCAAGTGTATTTATATTACTTTCAGGATTTGGAAATAATATTTTTAAAGGCTGTGATTATTTTAAGAGCAACTCGATTTGTTAAATTTTCTTTTTCTGTTACATTTACTGTTTAATTTTTTTTTAAACAAATTGAAGTATATTTCTTAATTTTAGTTTTCTGGATAATCCTGACTTTTAAAAAAATATTGTTTAATTTTCACCAGCTGTTATTAAGGATAATTAGTTTATTGCAAAAATATGGAAAATGTGAATTATTGTATTTTGAAATACACAGATTGTATTGTGAGTATTTATACTTCACTTTATATACAGGGTGTCCCACCGGGAACTGCGTCGATTGATATCTAGGAAAGTACTGCTCCGAAAAATTTGAAAATTTGGCAACATGCCAATGTCCCTGGGGCGAACCAAAATATCTAGAACTCTCCAGTACTTCCGGTTATACCGGAAGTCTACACCAACTTCGTTATTTTAAATGGGACACCCTATATATTATTGCATTTTCGGATTCTACGTGAAATTTGAAGGTCACTTTATTCAATATTCCCTATACCTAGGAGTTATAGAATTTGAGATAATATTTAAAGAAAAAATTTGACAGATGCAGGGGTCCGCGGAGATGCTAGTAACTCTTTTTAGGAGAGTGATATCAAGCGGATTTTTGGTACCTGTAAAGGGCATAGGTAACACTAAATTGTGATGTATACCAACAAATTAAAACATTTAATGCTAGGTGTTTCATTTTTGCTATTATATTTTGATAACTTCAAACAACTATAACTTTGTTAACTTCAACGGAACTGCCTGTATTTTTTTACTCTGTCGTATGCAGATTGAAATTTCCTTTCAAGCCATATAAGCATTATTAGGGATTACTTTTAGAGATATTTACAATTTTATATTTTTTGGACACTTTTTGTCATATCGGACCTCATCAAATTGACCATGACCAGAAACACTCCAAAAACAATTGAAATAACAAATGTCAAGTTATTTCAATTGTTTTTGGAGTGTTTCTGGTGATGGCTAACTTAACAACAGGTCTGATACGAGAAAAACTGTCCAAAAAATAGAAAATTGCAAATATTTCTAAAAGTAGTAACGGCAACCCTAATACTGCTTATATGGCTTGAAAGGAAATTTCAATCTGCATATAACAGTAAAGTCAAGGTGTTCCATTTAAGTTAACAAAGTTACAGCTGTTTAAAGTTATCAAAATGTAATAGCAAAATTAAACATCTAGTATTAAATGTGCCTTTTCTTTTTAACATTAGCTTAGAAAATGTTATTAAACGGAAAATATTTTACAGTACACAAATTTGTATTTTCCTCGAAAGTGTCCACATGTACTCGTATAATGTTTATATTAATTTTAAAGACGAATAATAGATAGCGCAGGGACTAACATTTTAGTTTAACGTTGTTTGACAGGGATCGCAAGAGTTCTTTGACAAATGTACTTGGATGGGAAAGGTCTACCCGTGTTATGAAATATTTCAACCGATTGTAACTGATGAGGGTCTCTGCATGACCTTTAATATGCTGAATAAAGAAGATTTGTACAAAGATATCGTGTAAGTATTGAAAGTGGGGTAACTTAATGTGAGAAATATTTTGCCTGGAATGTTGTAATTGGATTCTCTTGATGGTTAGTGAATAATTGAGAAAGGATAGAATGTCAGGGGGGAAATATATTTATTTCGGATATTTTTACTTCCTCTGCTTTCAAAACAAGACCATTACAGTAATTTATTTTGGGACGGTAGGGTTAAAATATGGAAAGGATGTAGCGGTCTAATTTATTTTCTTCACATTTTACGTTAATGCGATTGAGGGGAAACAGAAAAATGTAGCCGTTTAGTATCCGTGACAGTTTTATTTGGGATGTTATAATATGCCCACGCTCTCAAATCTTCAGAATTAAAAACGTTTTTTATTTGGCGTTGAAATTATAGAGCATGTCTAATCCAAAGATTTTCTGTGACAGAGGGTAGCTAGCCTAGATTTATGAAAAAGCATTATCAAATTATCTAAATTTTGTTTGTATTTAATAAATTAATTTAGAACGTTTTTAGAACTTCGCAACCAATAAAGCAGAAACACCTGAAAATGTACAAGCCAGGAAAGGTGGAAGACTGGACTATTGGATATGGTTATGGCGATTTGGCAGGAGTTGAAACATATCCTCGTAGGGCGCTACTCGCGGGATCTGCGAATGCATTAATTGTAAATTTAAATGTCAGTATGGCAGATCTGGATTATGCATGCACAAGTTTTCAAGGATTTCAAGTAAATATATTTCTAAATTTACTTCTAAATGAACACAATTTCTTTTTATTTTTGACATAATAGGATAAAAACTGTGAGCGTTTGGTTTTAACAAATAATTAACTTAGAAAAAAAATCATCTATTAAACACCTCAGACGGACAAAAGATAGTCAAGTTAAAAGTAAGAACACAGAAAAATAAATGACCACTAATATAACACAGGCCGGGGACCGCCTAGCCGGGTGTCTTGGTCGGTGGATTTCGATCTGCCGAGGTAAGCATCACGGACCCAGGCTGGAATTTGGATGGGTGACCTAAGGCAGGCTCGGGGACATGGCTGTGGCAATGAGAACAGAGCAAAGAAAATCTCTGTAACTCAAGACCATGCTATCATACATAAACTGTACGAGACTTTGGCACCAAGCCACCCGTGTAGTAAATAGGATGGTTTGAAGAAAAATACTCGAGTAATAAAGGAGGGTGTACAAGGGGCCTAATAAGGCCTAAGTGCCGCGGTGGAAAAACAATTCCACCACCCTCCGACATAGATACATACATACATAACACAGGCCGACAAAACAGGACTTACTTTACATAATAAATTTCTAAAAAATTTTTATCTTATTTATTGGTGTAACTGGCCTAATCAGTAACCAGATTATACTTTCCTGTAGGTTTTCGACTCGCTAAATTCGAATCCGACTTCAAAATTGCCCCTTCATGTCAGGTTTTCGAAATATGCTAATTTAAAAAAGTGAAAAACACGCTACGTTACATCACAAGGCAATTTTTCTCTACAAAACTCATTATTTCGCCTGAATTTATTACTTTTCTTCTTCAACATTATTCGGAATCGTTCAAATATCTCTTTTTCTCTTCGAGCAGTTTGCTGGAATTTGGAAAACAGAAAAATTGCAAACATCTAAATTCCCACTGGCTCTTCAAATTTTTGTGGTCGCTGATTGCGAATCGGAAGTCAAACTTACAAAATTCAAATAGTGGGCTTTTTGAGTTTCTTCAGCGCCTTAAAATATGAAAATGATATATTTGGACTAAATTTCGGCCAGTTTTCACCCACAAATTTCACTTTTCCCCGACAAGTCATGAATTTCGATGACAGGATCGTGTTCAGCGCATCGAATTCTTTCGGAAATGATATGTGAGTCTCTTGGGTTTAGATTTTTTGTTGTGTGTGACTGTCTAATCAGTATGCTCATTCTTATCAGACTCAAAAGAAGAAACATTTATATCGAACAAACGTTTTTCTTCGCTAATATTGAAAACGAAAAAGTTAAAAGTTACAAGCAAATTCTTAAATTTATGTAGATAAGAAAACAATCTTCATTGCACCTGTCACTATTTTCGCCTCTAATACCTCCCAATTTTTGCATTTAAGGTGGTGTTGCACAAAGCCATTCGATTTCCCACAGTGCAACAGCACTACTTCCGGATCCCTTTGAAGAAATCAGTCATTGTTGCCATCTCTCCCACTCAGCTCATTACCTCAGATGACGTAAAAGAATATAGTGTCTCCAAGAGGAAGTGTTTCTTCCAGTCCGAGAAGAGGTTGCAGTTTTTTAAACACTACACCCAATACAACTGCAAACTGGAATGCCTCACCAACTCAACTCTAAGAAAATGTGGATGTGTTGCTTTTTATATGCCTCGTAAGTACAATTTTACACATATATGATGTTTCGGTATGTTCTTACAATAAATGGATTCAATAAGAAATAAAGCAAAATCTATCAGAGAAAATATGTATTTTATAAATAAATAAACCAAGAAGATACCTACTATTCTAATTGTAAGTAGGGCTAACTACTTTCAAAATAAAATCTAAAATGAATTTCTTTATTACCTCTGAGAGATACCTAATAACGAATCTTGTTGAAATGATTTTTTCGTGTATTCAGATTTTATTTTATGAGAGGTAATTTTAAATTCCTTTATTTATTTACACCATTTGTGCCCAAATAGCGAATAATACAGGGAGACATTGAACCATGGAAAAGTTGTGCATGGACAATCAAAAACTAAAGTTGCTTACTAAACTTAAATGAAACCGCTTCAGCTGTTTTCTTGTATTTATAAAACTCTAATATTTTTTAAATCTTTGACGTCCCTTAAGATGTTTAGAAGAATATGCAAGGTGTACCGTGACTTGATGGCCATAGTTTAAGGTCGTATTCCTTGGACAATTTTAAGTCGAAAGTGTCTTATACACTTTGTTCAAAACTCAATAGTTAAGGAGTTACGGGCAATATTAAATTTGGAAGTAAATAAATCTGGTAGGCCACGTAATTATTTTGTCATATTGTTATGGTGACATAGTTTATTCTTTGATGTTGTAATTTTAAGATTAATTTGACATGGCATTGTCAAATCAAGAATATGCCAAAATTCACTTTATTTACGGAAAGGTACTGTGACGGAAATACGAGAGCCTCAGTGCGGGAATATCATCGGAGGTTTTTTGATCGAAGAATACCTACCTAATGAGCAAGTGTCCATAAATGTGCATTGTCGGTTGACAGAAACAGGTATGTTTCCTAAAGCTACTACAGAAAGAACTTGCTGAATAAGCTATTGTTAATATGATCGAAAATAGTCCCTCTACTAGTATATTATCTATCTATATAGATTATCTAATCGTGTTCAGGTTAGTCGAATAAAAGTGTGGAGAACATTACACAATTTTGGTTTGTACCCATATCACATACAATCTGTCCAACATTTACAGCAGACTATGTAGCGCGTGTTGACTTTTGTCGTTGGTTGATTGTACACCCACGGCTTTGTGGACAAATTATGTTTACGAGTGAAGCCATGTTTCATAGAGATGGAATTATGAATACCAGAAATTCACATTCATGGGCACTTGAGAACCTTTTGGAAATCAGGGAAACGTATTTTCAACATCGCTTTTTGGAGAATATTTCATGTGGTGTTCTTAATAACCTTCTTATTGATCCATTCGTATTTCAAGAACGTTTAACATCCAAGCATTATTTAAATTTTTTACCAAATGATTAATGGAGGATGTTCCACTTCAGAATAGAGTTAGCACGTGGGTTCAGCACGATGGCGCACCACCACATTTTGATGTAAATGTGAGAGAATATCTAAATAACAACTTTGCTAACTGGTGGATTGAAAGAGGAGGTCCAGTTCTCTGGCCTCCGAAGTAGCTAGACCTAAGGCCTCTTGACTATTATCTTTGGGGACACATGAAAAGTCTAGTATATTTAAATAAACCACAAACCAGCTAATTCAAAATATTATGGCTGCAGCTGCATTTTCAACCAAATTTTTTTAAATTTCTGTCAGCAATAAAAAAATTCATAATTAATAAAACATTATATTACTTTATTCAACACGATCTTTACTTTACCAGATTTATTTACTGTTAAATTTAATATTGCCCATAACTCCTTAACTATTGAGTTTTGGACAAAGTGTATAAGACACATTCGACTTAAAATTTTCCAAGGAATACGACCTTAAGCTATGGCCATCGAGTCTCGGAACACCCTGTATAGGAATTAACAATTTGAAGAAAAAACCGTATAGCGTTTCAGTTGAACCTCTTCTAAAAATGATTTTTGCAATTAAAATAAATAAAAAAAGTGCTTTATCAATTCTGATTGTGGCACATTTTTTTTGTAATTAATCTCGTAGAAAAATATGGTGGAGAAACAATGATAAAATGTATGGTGGTTTCCATGCAAATAAATTTCAGAGGAAATAAATTACATGTGGGGATATTTCAAAACCCAACTGAAATTAAATTAATTGTTACTGTAATTTCATGGCTACATCATTAGCTACAGTGATTTAATTAAAATGTAATAAATAATTGTGCAGCCATAATTGAAATGTGTAAAAGATTCATTCAAATAATTTAAATTAAATTTGTGGTATGCGTAGATCGGTGATACCCAAACTTTTTATATACCTTAGAGAAACTGTATGTTCTAGCAATAAAGGAAAAGATTCGTTATATTATTTAAAGGAAAAATGTTTGTATTAATGAACTAAATAGTTTTTAAAGTTCATTTATATTTCAAAGAAATATATATCATCTTCACAAATACCTAGTATAAAAAATACACTATAAAAAAATCGGTGTAAGTGAAAGCAATAAAGGTTCGGAGTGAATCCAATGAGTGAAACTATTGAGTTCACTCAATATTGAGCATTTTGATAATTTTACTCATTTGTGATATTTGAACTAAAACTGAGTACTTTCACACAAATGTAGGTACCCGCTAAATAAATTCTGCAGATAAACTTCTGCAGATAAACTAGTAATTGATACACTTGTAGCTAAACAGAGTAAATATGTCCTTATTATTCAGTGATCCCACCTCATTCTATGGTTGTTGTGCGTTGTCTTTGTCTCTTCCCATCGCCCCCATTAGATCATCTTATGGCGTGGTGTATGGCGTGTAATGCTGAACAGGTGTTCGTTAATATGATTATTTTGGTAAAAATTATTATGTTTAAATGCAGTTGTTTGATTACAATAATTAAAAACAATAATATTTTGAGTCTCGATTAATATTTGGTTAAATAAACGGATAGTTAAATTGTTACCTATACTTACTTACGTACCTGTTACAGGGTATGTAAATGTAAAATTGTTTTAGGAGTAAATGGAACACCAGTTTGTGGAAATGGCCTTCAAGGATGCATGAAAGAAGTGAAAAGTGAGTATTTATAACTTATTGTTGTTATGATTAAAAGTAAAATCTATCGAAATAGGAAGTACGTATTATTTAGATTACTTTTCAACTTATTTCAGTCATAACTGAGCGAGTTAAATATGAATTTTTTTAGCAAATCTAAAATATGCCAGAAATTTTTCTAAAACAAACTTTTTTCAGAGAAAATAGTGTACTACATTTTGTAATTCCAGACAAACATTAATAAATGTGTGTAATTCGGCATTAAATTTCTAGCACCCTGTAAGAAATTAAGTCATTTTGAAATTATGGCAGGGAAGCTTAGAGTTTTAGTTATGTCCCCTATAAATTTTATCGCTATAACTTTATTACATTAAAATATACGTCTTTTTGAATTAGCCAGTGCTTTTTACATTTTTTTTGAAAAAAATTAAATATATCAGAAACCGTTAACTTTAAGCATAGGAAACCTTTATGAATGTACAACTAGAAATTGATGTAGAATCCAAAATTGCAATAGGGTGTTTCATTTAAAATAAGCAAGTTGATGGCGCCTTCCGGTATAACCGGAAGTGGTACGTGGACGCCATTATTTTAGTTGAGAAGGGCATGCCCGAAAACCCGGTATCCCAAATTTTCAAAATTCAAATCGAAGTAGTCTCTGAAATAATTCTAATGGGCCGTCACCGTGAAACACTCTGTATGTAAAATATTAATACACTTGCGAGATCTTCAAATTCTTAAATATGTTTAAATAGTAAATTGGTTTCAAGAGTTCTTTTCGCAGATATTTCAAATCAAGTTTTAACTAAAAATGTGTTTTCAGCGTTTTATAAAGTTCTAAATATTTAATACTGCTGGGAAATGCACTTCACGTTTCAAGTCGTCATATCCTCTTCACATAATCACACAACTCGATTTAATCATTTTCGTGATTAAAAACGAATTTACATGAAAGAGAATTTTTAGTTGAATAATTCTTTCCGTTTTACCATATTTCAAGCATTTACTCCACTTTTAATTTCAGATAATTTGGACATGGCGGGCCTTCAGCACTCGATCAATACCGAAAACAACAAAAGGGACAATTTCGATAGCAGATTGAAATGCGATTGCAGCCCAATGTGCGCTTCCGTGGAGTACAACGTGGAAATAACAGAAATCGATTACGACTGGTACAAAGAATTCGAATCGCTGGGATATGGAAACATGGATGACGAGGAGTAAGGGCTTTCATTTCATGTATATTTGTGTGTTGCTTCTTCCGCTCTCCGTCCATCATTTAAGTGAAAATAATTGGCCTTTTTATTTATAAATATAGGGAAAAGTTTAAATGGCAAAAGTTTCGTACAGTTTTCAGCATTCGCTAGCACGAAATGATCCAATTATATATATGATATGAACTTTGCGCTGCGATGAGTTTGGAATCATGATATTTTGTGTACTCGGAACTTTCCAACTTTTAATGCATTAAGATAAAACTGCTTTATAACGTTATTATTCTTTTATATTTAGTTGACACGGTACAAGTAAAAGAAATAAGTCACGTTTATTTGTTTTTATATTACAAGGATTCTGCTTTTTTAAGATGTGACAGCCTACTCCTAAAATTTTTAAATGAGTATGTCGTTTTTCGTGGCTTGAATCAATGCATTGTACTTAAACTACATTTGAGAATATCCATCGCAATTTTTTATAGAAGATTTTACTATTTTTAAGGGTATTTTCATTTCACTCATTTGAAATAAACACAACAGACATTAAACTTAGACAATCTGCATTTAGCTAAATATTGGAAAAAAAATCCCACCAAATTTCAACTCTTAATAATATTTAGTACTCGCTATTTTATTTTAAAATTTTCCTATTCATTTAACACGTAAACCTAAGAGGGTGGCCCAATAGTGTGACAAAGTTCAATATCTCCCTTAATACAGGGTGTCTCATAATTAGCTGCCAACCCTGAACAGGCCGATTTTATGATCAAAACTAAGTAAAAAAGTTCATATGAACATGGGTCCGGAAATGCTTCCTAAGGGCACAGGGACCCATTGAAGAGGGAGGAATGGAAATCATTTTTTTGCAATATCTCTCAATCGCGTTGTGATAAATGAATGAAATTTGGTATACACAGCTAAATTTTGATGAGCAATTTGATGGACTAATCCATTTATTTCCACAAGGTCCATTGGGGTGGGTACGGGGGGGCCCTTGGTACTTTGCGTGTGTAACTTTTTCATCTTTGACTTTTTAACAAATTGGACAGCAAATTCCGTTTTCCCGAACTGTTTTACGTTAAAAAGGTACTCTTGTTTCAAATCGTTATCTTTAACGGTTTCTGAGAAAATCGCTCTTGAATTAATCCCACTTTGGTCAATTTCATAGTAATTTAAACAAAAAAAATTTTTTTGTTTAAATTTAATCTAATTTTAATAAAAAAATAATAATAAAAAATTAAATTAAATAAAAATTAATCCTTTAAATGGAAAAGAGAGGAAAGGAAAATTATTATTATTTTTTTTTGTTTAAATTACTATGAAATTGACCAAAGTGGGATTAATTCAAGAGCGATTTTCTCAGAAACCGTTAAAGATAACGATTTGAAACAAGAGTACCTTTTTAACGTAAAACAGTTCGGGAAAACGGAATTTGCTGTCCAATTTGTTAAAAAGTCAAAGATGAAAAAGTTACACACGCAAAGTACCAAGGGCCCCCCCGTACCCACCCCAATGGACCTTGTGGAAATAAATGGATTAGTCCATCAAATTGCTCATCAAAATTTAGCTGTGTATACCAAATTTCATTCATTTATCACAACGCGATTGAGAGATATTGCAAAAAAATGATTTCCATTCCTCCCTCTTCAATGGGTCCCTGTGCCCTTAGGAAGCATTTCCGGACCCATGTTCATATGAACTTTTTTACTTAGTTTTGATCATAAAATCGGCCTGTTCAGGGTTGGCAGCTAATTATGAGACACCCTGTATAAAGATTTGAAAATAACTATTTTATGGGAGTGATGTACTTAAAAAAGTTCATATTTTAAACATATTTTGAATTATACAGGGTGATGCATTAGGGCGGAGCATCTTTAAGGTTGTTTTTCTTAAAAGGAACGCTGTATATTTTCTGTACTCTACAGAAAATTCTCTTTCCAGCGATGTCTTTGTTTTTTATATTCGATGCGGCGATGTCAAGTTATTTGAAAAAATAAGATAATTTTCGCTGGGACAGGGTTCTGTAAATCTATCCACTGTGCAGATACTACCAGTAATTAAGAAAAAATATTTTGTTGGCATGCGGTTCATAGATGTGGACAAACAACAAAATAGCAAAATCTTTATAATTTTGTACAGGGTGTTCTACCCATAAGCCTCAGTTTAGCGAATTTCGAAGGACATTTTCTCGATTTTTTTAAATGAAAAACCCGGTATATTATTTTATTTTTGGATTAATATGTTAATTATCTACAACTTTTGTAAATAATACCTTATGCCTAAAACCCCTTTAATTTTGCAAATTTTACTTTTTATTACTCTAGTAGGCCATGAGTTTGACATAAAATAACAAAATTTATAATTTATCCTTTATCCATCAACAGTAACAAAATTAAAATTGTTAAGGTTATTTTTTTTGTCCGGGGCTAACATGATGGTAATTAAGATATTGATAAAAACCATAGAGATCACAAATATCTTAAAAAGTTGTCAGGGGCTTAGTCCAGGCCGGGTGGAAAATGTATACTTTTTAAAATTATAAGTTAGTCAAACAATAGAAAAATGCTAAATGGAATGATTAAAAGTAGATTTTAACAAAATTTAAAAAGAACAAGGAACAAATCTAAGAAATGTTAGTAATAAATTAAATACTAAGTATAAAAAGAAAAAAAAATATGAATAGGTACTAACTAAACAAGCAATTTAAATTTTAAGTTAAATTGAAAACATAGGTCACTACGGTTCTCAAAAGATATACTCATATTCCTACACATTTCGACAGTAATGCTTTGGAAACAATTCCTTATTCGCATAGCGAGTACTTAAAATTAAAATTACGAGCTGAAATTTGTTGAGAATATTTTCTCCAATTTTTAGAAAAATATTTCGACAATGGAACGAAAAAAAAAAGAAATGCACATTTCAAACGAAGCGCTCTAAATGTATTTTGAAATATTCCATCCTGACAGCTATTTCGAAACGTACAGTTTCCCAGTATTTTTTGTAGTTATTATAATAATATAAGTGTGCTTTGGAAAAAGGTATCATACATTTAGGACTGATAGAACATAAAAAGATACTGAAATTTTTTTCCAGTTAATTATAGACCTGTCGCCTTTTGCTGTGGATTATAGGGCGTCAAAGAAAATTATTTAAAATCAAATATGTCTTTACAAAAAAAACAACATAATTCATGTTTTCAAGGGCATCAAATGCATTAACGGTGTTAGTTCTTGACCACCTGCTAGTGATTATGGTTGTTGTAACGTACTATAAAGTAAAATTTCGTTTTTCATCAAAATTATGCTCTTGTTAAAAGCGCAGAAATTTTTAGAAAAACAGAATTGACTGTCCCAAAGTCAATAAGCTTCTATTCCTTAACATACAGGGTATTTCAACATGAATAAGTTATACTCTAAGAATAGCTTTTTTGAATGAAAACCTCGTTTAAACATTAAGTAGTTAGTTGTCTTAAGATGAAATAATAATGGCACTGAAACAGTTAAAAAACAAGCAGACTTGTCATCCAGCTTTTGTGACGAGTTATTTATTAAAGAACTGTGTCTACGTTTTGTTCTATTCACTATATCTCATTTTTAATCTCTGAAAATGTCGATCTTTCCTTCTTATATAGAGCTAGTGTATGGCCAATTTTGTATTCAGAAGTCTCTTCCGATGTAACGAACTACCGTCCCATTACCTTTTTGCTAAAGTTTTCGAGTTTTCACCCCTCCTACTTTCCTGTAAAGAACGTAGGTACTTTCAATAAATCAACATGTCTTTATATTCCACAAATCCACTACTTCTGATCTTGTATATTTTACATAGTTCGTATCAAATTTTCTCGGTAATCATGGCCAAGTAGATACACCACCACTGACTTCTAAGGCTTTCGATTTTGCTACAAAAACATAATATATTTCGTTTTAACGACGAATTACAAACGTGTTTTCGTTTATATCTGTATTATAGAACAGTTAGCTTCAAATTCAAGTCATATGAGCTACATCGAGGGTTCGTCGGGGTTCGAACTTGGGTCCGCTACTCTTTCTCCACTTTATTAACGACTCAGACAGTATGCAAAATTGTGAGAGGCTTTTGTATATTCTCAAAAATTTACCCTTACTAGATTTCAATGCATTGCTGTATATCTCAAAAACAGAAGGTTATTTTTTAATGCTCTGCCAGCTCCTAAATTTACGGCACCTTTTCTAAAACAGTTCCGATTTATTGATCACTAATTAAAAAAATATATTTACTCTATGTGATATACAATTGATCATCCAGTCAAGAAAAGTTCCACGAAGTTCGTAAATACAGTTTTCTTTCAACATATAATATATAATAATGGAAAACTCGCAACAAATAAAAACATAATTGTAAATATACTTTGTATATAAACCATAGGTTTAAAAATTACATTTTAGCATTTTGAGATTATATCTATACTGTTTTGTCTATATTTTTATCTGCCAGTAGTTTCATTTGAGTTTTCCAAGAAGATTAAACCTACAGTCAAATAATACTACTAAAACTACCCAGAACTTTATTGCCAGGCCAAAGGATCAGCACTTAATAATACAACTCGCGCAAAAGGCCAGTTGAACATCTTTGTCTGAGAAGTACCCTCCATTGTGATGATATTAGATTGCATTGTTAAACTTAATTGCTGTAACATTATTGCTTCAATTAGAGAACTGAAAATGAATAAAATGGGAGACATAAAGACGACAAGAACAGGACATTACAGTTATGGTGTTGATTTATGCTCATAATGAAACACAATTTGTAGTAATATTTTTGTACGCAGGTTGTTTCAAGATTAATATAAGAAACTTTAAATTTTCATTTTGAGGGTCTAAGAAAAAAATTATATTATGGAATGTCCGGAAAAGCTTCCCTCAATATACATTACCAGTGGCGGAGATACCTACATTAAATATTTTGAAAATTTGATAATGTCTCACGAAGTTTTTTAAACCAATTCGACTTCATTCTAGGAAGGACTGTTTTCGATTTATTACTTTTTTTCGCATAGATTACCGTTAATAATCTTATTTACATCTAACGTAATTGTAGAACCACTCCTGGTTGACTAATACAGGGTGTTAATGAATTTATGTTAAATATTTTTGACACATGTTCGTTATGCCAAATGAGGACTCGGATTTGTGTTGAGTAAAATGTAATTTTAAAATCTGACTTACCTCAACATTGCAACGAGCCTGATTTTCATAAAGGATGTTCGATATACCCACCATTTGCTTGCACACAAGCTTCAGCGCGACGTATCCAATTCGCTCGCATGCGTTACAATATTGCCACGTCCTCACGAATCGTATTTGGCAATACGATGTAGCAGTTGGTCGATGTCACGAACTTCCATGGAATACACTTTTCACATATCCCTACGGGGGAACGGGGGTGGGGGGAAGGGGGCATCAAACTAGGCTGCCGCGACCGAAAAAAGTGAGCGGGGGCTTCGCCATGCAGTAACCACATATTTTGCCGAGCCTTTAATGGCACTTCTTCCAATAATTCTATTCCGGCAAGCGATTTTGCAAAAAAGTCTAGATATGAAGCACCATCTAAGAGTCTAGGCAATTCAAAAGGTGTTATTAACGATACCGGCCCACATGTTCATTGAAAACTGTTGCTGAAAGGCACCTGACGTATTTCGTGCGGATTTTCAATAATCCAGTGGTGAGTGTTGTGGACGTTACGTAGGTACACCATTTCCACTGAAACATGCTTCATCTGTAACAAGTATTTGCGCTGTAAATTGAGGATTTCCTGCATATTCCTGGAGCAACCATTCGCAAAAACCTGGACGTAGTGGAAAAGCCTCAGGAGTAAGCGCTTGAACACGTTGAATATGAAATGGGTACAATTGAACTTCTCGTAATGTCCGCCATAGAACAGGATGCGCAATATTTACTTGCGGTGCGGAGGCACATCGTTCAGGATATCCTGCACGGTACATTTGACAAGCTCTGTGGTCATTTTCGTTTGCTTCGCCATAAATTATGAGCATATAATATTCGCGATTGCTAAATAAATGCGCCATTTTCAAAATAAAACTTGTAAATGCGGTTATTAAATGTACTCTCGAAAAACAGCACATCAATCACTACAACAATGTAGTGCAAAATGACTTCCGAATACTGTCTGGCTTCATAAGAAACCTACAAACTCGTAAAAAGTGTTACAGATTTTTTTGTAAGTACTCGCCGCGATAAAATACATGTATTTTAGCAGGTCCAAAACACATTTTTAATTAGCTTTTTTCTCTATTACCTTAAACTGCCGATACAAGTTTGTCACATCAGTTAACTCAGTTTTTGTTCCTTTTTCATCCCTTTACATTTTTGACATAAGTTCATTAACACCTTGTATACCCCATGAAACTTCGTAATTAAATTATGTGTATCAACCAAAATTTGACAGAAAATGGCTAGTACAATGAAAAATAACGCTTTACTACCAAAAATTCTGTCATCGCCATTTCAGGGGTTGAAAACTCGGTAAAAATGGATTTATTGGGCGATTACGCCTGATGACGTGCGTGGCTGACTGACAAGCGCATCAACTAAAATTTTATAATAGAAAACAGCGTTTGGAACCATTTTTTTTATATTACAGTGATCTTTTATAGATACTTGTTGAACCAATTGCGATGATCCAGTTCATAATTTATAGCGTGTATCCTTTTTTAAGTAATTTTTCGGAAAATAAATAAGAATATTTTAATAAAAATTCTGGTAGTTTAGTCAGTAAAACTCAAAACTCCCATATCTCAAATTTCATAAATTTATAAATCCTAATAATTTTTACATAGGTACATTTAAAATTCTAAATTTATGAAATTTCTAATTCAGTTTAAAAACCTAGAAAAAAACACTGGAAATGTTTGAGGATTTCGAAAAAGTATTGATATTTTTTTAAATTTTTCTATTATATGTTAGAAATTCACATTATAAATTTAACATAACCAAACCTAATGTATTTAATTATACTGAAAAGTAAATATGACAGTTCCAAATTCTAGTTATAATAGTGAGAAACCACAAAGCTAGTTAGTATTATAGTAAGGTGGTAGACCGGGGTACAGGATATTTGCTCACTGAACTTAAATATATTTCATACAAATGTCGTGGAAACCTGTCCTAGGATTTACGCTATTGTGCTTCTCTATGGGATTTTAAATGACAAAATTAATTGTCTTGGAATACTGCAACTGCACTCGAATAGTATTAGGAGTTTCCTCTCTAGAATATTCTAACTTCTAACAAAATACATACCATTATATCCAAGAACACGGTTACGTTTTAAAAATGATCAACTTATTTTACTTTTCTTTTAAAAATGTTAATTAAATAAATTACATAATACTTGCTCCAATATTAGACGTTAGTTCTGGCGTGCAACTTCACGCAGCACAGTGGGCAAAAAAAACCTTTTTTTTTGGACAAAAGTCTATCAACACTGCATATTTGAACTGATTTTAAAACTTTTTTTTTAGTTTACTCATGAAAAATTGCTTTATAACGTAGTACTGCGGCATTGATAAAAAAATCACTGTCCAATGATATTTTTATAATATTAAATGGATTTACAAAAAAAAAATATTAAAAGTAAATCAATTGAAGAGAGCAAATACAAATAACCACACTGAACTTGATCTAAATCTCATTCTAAAAAGTTGATCGATTAATTAAAAAGGACGATGCAGGGTCGGATTAAATTCCACGTAATAATTCTTGATTAATATTCTGGAACACATGATACTTTAGATCGCTTAGTGAAAATTGTTTAATTTCACGTCTTCTATTATCCCTTAAAATGAGCTTACTTATTTCGTAAACACCTAACATAAACCAAATTTCACTGATTGAGACTACTCGAGAAAATGGCGAATGCGCCATTGTTAACTCATTTCTAAAATTAAACTTCCCGAAACTTTAATTTAAAATGTTAGAATTCGAATATATTAACTTATTCATGGATAAAGTTTTTGTTTATTTGGAAACACTAAACAGGAAAATGCTTATCTCACTCTTCTTTTTATTAAATTTACCCCCCTTTTAAATCTTTTGACGTAGGTTAGATCCGTCATCCCTCGGTTATTAAATTGAAATATTAGATTTGTATTGCTTTTGAAGACATCTGGCTCGCACTGTTGCGAGGTATCTAGAAATTAGAAATAACGTTTGAAGTAATATTTCTGAGTAAAAATTTTTATTCTAACAAATGTTAAGTATATTGCGTATTTATACGAGATTCCTTGTTTTAATATACCATTCTGAAATGGATCATAGAGAACTTGACAAATTAAAAATAATGTTCAAACGTAATATAGTAATATTTTATAACAACTTTTGAGCGACATTAGATATGGTAAATTAATTAGTTTAATCAAATTTGAGGCAGACGTAAGTAACATATATGCCATGCTTTTTTCGAAAACGTTTTTTTACATGCATGCATTTTGGAGGACAACAATTGAATTCTTGTATTCAATTCTGTATAAAAACTGCCTTTTGTCAGTTTGCTTTAATGGTGGTTTATTTCGAGTTTAAAGAAAAAATTAAATTGATTACGCAAAATGCAGAGTAATTTTCTGGTTTAGGAATATGAGTCATTTATTTTACTCTACGATTTTAAGACAGATTGAAAAAGACAACATAGTTTTTATGCAGAAAACTCCATGGGTTTAGCCAACATTTTCAAAAAATCCATAATATATCCCCAGTTTAAAAATGTGAATCTGAACACTAAACATAACTTCATTAGGTTGATTAGGACGATTTGAATAACATTTATACATTACTTTTTTCGTTTTGACAGTGGTAACCATTTTCAAACCAGCAGCATAGAGCAAATAAGGCATCCAATACATCAGTTATGCAATTTATAAATGTATTAAATAATAATGGCCCCAAAACGGAACCCCGAGTTACACCGGAAGGAGTTAGAAGTTTAGTAGACAAAGCCATTGTAAACAATGTACTGAATCAATATGATTTCCGTACTACTACAAATAAATAATTAAAAACAACATTTTTCCTTTTTCTTCCTTTTTAAAATGTTATTGAAAATGAAATGTATTAACAAAACTGTACCTATCATAAGTAACATTTATTTGTTTCATAAATAAATAATTTGAACTATAAACATATTTGCCGTCAGTTCATAACTGCAGTTTAACACGAAGATAATTCTCATTTTGAATGTTACAGATATTCGAAGTCTCAACTTATGATATATTTCAAGTCCAGCCATTTCATCCCGTACGAAAGGAACGAGCTTTACGGCCACTTGGATTTTTTGGCAAATGTGGGAGGATTACTGGGCTTGTTTATCGGCATCTCCCTGCTCTCCTTCTTTGAAATAATTTATTTTTTAACCCTAAGGATCATATGTAATCTTAGGCTCTACAAAAACTGGTATGGAAAGGAAAACAAATAAAACTTTCCCTTCAGAAATGTTGCGTAACGCATATCTTATAAAGAAGATGTTTACTAAATATAAAATTTGTAATATGCAAAATTTGCACGCTGTATACTTATGTAAAATGTTAAATACTTTTCGCTCTAGTATATACAAATTCTACAGTTTCAGATCCCTAAAATTTGCGGCCTAACGAATTGCCAAATTGGAAATTATTTTGCTTAATTTAATACATTTACATTTAATAACTCTTTTGTATGTTATCCTCACAGCACCTTTAGGCACGTTTTTTTTTTCACATTTACAATAATTAGTAAATTAATTTCCTTATTTTATCAAATAAGCCAACAAATTTCTAAAAGGTCGAAAATAGAGTAAAGAAATAAAAGTTTGATTTCCTGACTAGGTCAACGTTTCGGTTTATTGTAAACTTGTCTCAGATTTATAAATAATAATATAAAGATATAAATTTTAACATAGAACATATTAAAAATATTTTAAAAGTGATGTTTATAACATTATTGTAATGCTTTTAAATAAAGGTATGGAACATATTAGTATTATATTGTAATGGAAAACAACTCGTAATTAATATTATATTATAATGAGAAACAACTACTCTGCGGGCTATAGCCCTGTCCAGCATGCGAACTTATTAGTTGTCATCAGGATGGATGTCTCATATACCGACATGTTTTGAGTGTGACATATAACAGATATTTATGAGTACCTGTCAAAGTAATGGAAAGCTGTAACTAGGAATATGTCTAATATCTAAGTATTGATTTCTTAACATCTTTGTGATTGGTTAAATAAAATATATGTAACATCGTTAAATGGTATTTTTATTTACTATTGTAATTACAACAATTGTGAAAATCTGTTTTAAATTACGTAAATATTATACAGGGTGGTCCAGATTTTAATAGACAAACTTCGGAAAAGTACTAAACAACAAAAATTAACATCACTTTGCTGTATGAACATAGACGCAGAAAGTCACCGTCTATGAGATACAGGGCGTTGAAATTATCAAAAATAAAACAATTTTTTTAAATATCTGGAAACCGCTTCATCAAATTTATCCAAATTTGGTACACATTTTTTTTAAATATTTCTCCTAGTTCTGTATGCACACAGTCTAAATTCAAAAACTAGTGGCGGAGAAATAAGGACGTTGTTTCCTTATTTAGAGTAAAACTTCTACGCCATTGAATTAATTGGTAATATGAATATATTTTATAACGATCTGAAATATTTCGGATGAAAAAACATTCTTTTATTTTTGTCGAAAAGTGAATGGTTTACGAGTTATGAGACATATTATCCAAGTAAATAAAGTGTTGATATAGGGAAAAATAAAACGAATTTGGCTGGTCCAGATTTCTAATAGACAAACTTCGAGAAAGTACTAAATAACAAAAATTAACATCACTTTGCTCTATGAACAGAACGTTGAAATTAACAAAAGTAAAAGAATTTTTTTTAAATATCTCGAAAATCGCTTCATCAAATTTTTTCCAAATTTGGTACAAACTTTTTTTCAAATATTTCTCCTAGTTCTGTATGTACATAGTCCAAATTCAAAAACAAGTGGCGAAGAAACGATATCATTTCCTTATTTAAAGTAAAACTTTTATGCCACCGAATTAATTACTATTTTGAATACAATTTGCAACGGTCTGAAAAATTATTTCTGTCGAAAAGTGAATGGTTTACCAGTTTTGAGACATGTTATGATGCGGTTTTCCAGATAACCATTTAAAAAAATTATTTTATTTTTGTTAATTTCAACGCCCTGTATCTCATAAATGGTAGCTTTCTCCATCTATGTTCATAGAGCAAAGTGATGTTAATTTTTGTTGTCTGGTAGTTTCCCGAAGTTTATTATAATCTGGACCACCCTGTATATGTGTTAAAAATTAATTTTTGTTTTGTGTTAATAAAATAAAGTATTTTTTTAAAATACTTTGTTGAGACGAAAAATAGACAAGATCTGTAGAGATTCTGAAGACATTCTATTTATAACAGGACTAAGTAAAAAGTTACAGAATTAATAGTATAGGTACCTAATCAAATTATTTTTCTATAAATTAAAAAAATTACTTTATAGACAAATACAGAGTGCAATTATAGTGCTTTGAAAAACATTAATGGAAGATTTTACTTCACAAATTAATAAAGAAAACTTCCCAAATGAGTTCAGAAATGTTTAATTTTCGACATAAAGATTGTTAAGACGAGGTTTATATTAATTTGTGAAAAGATCTTGAGGAAAACCGTGGGGAAGCCGTGCAAATAATATTTTATTTATTAACAGAAGTGATTTCTGGAATTAATATTATTAAACATTTCAACAATAATTTGTAATTTATTTCCAAAACGACCTATCTAGAGATGTACCAATCAAAACATGTTTCATATCAAACATTAACTATATTGTTGCAGTACCTTTTAATATAAAAATTTAAATTTAAAAAATAGACTTTTTTAAATTTGAGAACTCGTATATCGAAAACGTATTTTTGATGTTACAAGAACTTTTTCGAAAATTTGTAATGTAGAATCTGTCAAGGCTCAGCCAAGTATTGTAATTACACTGTGTAAGAAAATTGAATTAAGTAGCTGTTTTTCTTTTTGGTAAATCTAAAATCTAAAAGAAAATCTAAAAAAAAATCTAAAAAAGACATATTATGTATGTATTACCTCCATAATAAACTTAAATACTTATTTATTGTGGCGTGCTTTATTCGTTTAAATGGGCGGAAATAATTAATTTAACAAAAAAAGTAATATTGCAACTTATTGTGTAAATATGAAACAATATTTTTATATACCTTTTAATTTGAACAAAATATTGTTGATATTCAAATATTGAAATTTAATTGATTTAGCATGATATAATATGTTGACGAATCATTTTTACTATTTTCCTTCATATACTATATTTCTACGTATGACTGAAGATTCATTTCAAAACTCCTTGACCTAGTTCAGAACTTATCTTTTAAAAGATATTGTTGCAAACCAATCCTCTCGATTTGTGGAGAAATTCCGGAGTCTGTGAAATACATCTATAGAAATATAGCCGAGATATGTACATTTTAAACACACTTGGATGTTTCGGAATATCAAATTTTCAGTCGCTAAACTATGGGCCATTTAATGATATATTAGTCAAATAAGTATCATAGAGTCACATTATTTACAATTGGTTTAGGAAGAATTTGCAACTTTTCTTGCACAAGTGCATATATTTCTTTCTGGCCTTGATATTTAGTTTTATATACTAATTTAAGATTTTTATTTCGTACAAATTTTATTTGAGCTTCTTTTCTTCAATTACTTTGTTTTACTATTTAAAAGTCCTACCTCAATTTATAACAGTACGTATATTTATAAAATTAGACATTTATTTAAAAAAACTTCTTGATTCTTGAATCAATTACTTATACTTTTTTAATTTATATATTATTAAATAATAAATCATAATACATATAATAAAACAACTTTTTTTTCTTAAGGACGTTTCATTTTCTATCAAGTGCTTTATAAACATCTTATTATTTCATACTTATTAAAAAATATTTTATTATCTAAGAAGATACAAAAAGATACATTTATACCATGAACAGTATTATATTTGAGTGTTATGAAAGCAAGTTAAACAAGACAAATTTCATGAGATTTATATAAAAAGAAATTTTTTAATAGCAAGTAAAAGAATATTTTGATAGATTTGTAAAAAAATTTAAATAAAAAAAATGTCCCACTCTCCCAAAAAAATCCCTCTCTAGTACCTGTCTCATTTTACAAATTGAAAGACGATATTTTTCCGAACTTTTCGAAGAAAGAAAAAACGCTACACTTTTTCAAAAAGCATTTTTTTGGGTTAAAAATAAAATAAACCCAAAAAACTAAAAATATATGATTTATTTTTTTCATAAAACTACATCCCAAAACGAACAAAATGAAAAAAAAAGTTACAGGTATTTTGAAAATTTTTTAATCAAAATAATCAAATCTTATAAGTTTTTGACAGGTTTGAAATAAAAATTTAAAAAAAAATCGTGAAAGCTGCTCTAAATGGGTACTAAATAATACCAAAAATCAGGAAAATAAAAAATGGTCGGGTTCCGAACCCAGTGATTTGGCATGGAATGCCACATATACACTTTATACATATATGTATAGATATTAAAAAATGTGAATATCCATATTTTAGCAGGAATTTTTATACGAACACTCAACGTTTCTAACATGGTAATATACAGGGATGGCCAGAAGTACGGAATAAAATTCATATCTTTTGAATGAGATATATTTTTTAAAACGCCGAAACACGTTAACTGATTTTGATTTTTTCCCATCTTTCGGTTATATAATAATTAATTTTTCTTCAACTCCCTAACCCCCAGCTAGCCCTACTTTTTTTTTCAAATGGAAACATAAGGTATGAGGGGGCTCGTTGAAAAGCTTATAGAAAACCGAATCCAGCCATACCAAACAAACAAGTTTTATTTTTTCAATAGCAAGGTTTTTAGGGTTGTATAAAAAATCTACTTAACAAATTAAATAAAATTTAAGTGTTATCCTCCATGAATTTGCACAGAATAAAATAAAGAATTTGAAACTGTACCTATCACTGCTAACGCAAAAAATATATATTTTTTATGTTGCGTTTATGTGGAGACAAAATAAGAAGTCAGGCTGAAGTCCGCGATTTATTTAATGCGAAATATCCCGAAAATCAAATCTCGCAAGGGACAGTTAGTAAAATATTTCACAAATTTGAGGAACACAGTACAATACAGACTTTGCCCAAAACTGGACGGGCACGTGCTTTGAATGAAGAAAAGAAATTAGACATTGCATTAGAGCTTGTTGAAAATCCTCATACTTCAACTGTTTCATTGGCCCGCAATCGCAATGATTCTCGAACTGCAATTCAAATGTTTCTGAAACAAGATAAATACCACCCCTATAAGGTATATCATGTCCAAGAGCGATTATGATAG